TTCATAAGTAATGCATGACCGTTATGGACAGGATTCCTCAGCTGAAAAGCAAAAACCGCATCTGCCTCGCGACGATCAAATTCATTTCGAAGTTGTTGAGGTGAGAGCCTGTAGTGATCGAGGCCATCGTTGTACTTAATAGGCTTTAACACTTCCAGATCTCCACCAATGAGCCAATTTCCAGCCGGAGTAATCACCTCCTCAACATAAGGTAACCCTGGAGCCGTAGTACCCCATGTTCTAGCAATTCTCTCTTCCTTGTTATGCTTATATATTTCAACGCTGCAAAGGAGAATATGGCAAATCACAATGAAATATAGACATTTTCTTTTTGGGTATAACAAAAGCCCAACCACAAACCGAGGATGCTTCAATTTTATTGATAAAGAAAAAGAGAAATCTTGGCTCGTTTGTGATTCTCAATCACACAATTGTATCAAATACTTGTAAGACGAATAATGTAACTCAGCCACTCAGTATATGTGAATTGAAGAATATGTATATACTCTAAAGAATCCTACACTAACATTATAGAGAACCAGGTAGTGTAGCTTGAATTTTAGGCAAGTTGATACTTGCAGCTAATTACGGTAATCACCACCATTACAGAAGCAATAAGCTACTAGAAGATAGAATCATGCCATGGCAATCAAATTTGGGGAATATTCTGAGACACCATTTCAGGAAAACCTTCATTCTAGCTATGATAAATAGAAAGATTCGATTTTTCCAGTTCTAAACAATTCAAAAGGGTATACTGACCTTCTAAGAATGGCTATGAAATCATCAGCAGGCCCAACAAGAGCGACATCACTTGACCCTCCAATCCTTTCCTTAGCCTCGTCATCAATAGCAAGAACGATCGGAAGCGACATGTTAACAATGGACCCATTCTTCAATCTCAGGGAATTGAAATGCAAGCTCTGCAAATACTCATCCTCCCTCATGAACCCTCGCAGCGGGCTAGCCCACCCCTCGCTAATCACATGGACCCACTCAACATCAATCTTGGTGAGCCGTACTTTGGGTAAAGACTCGGCCGCCGAAATGCGGGCAGCCCTTTGGCTCTCGGGCACCACAAGATCCACCAAGCTTCCCCCATCAGGCTCAATCAAGGAACTCTTCACTACATTCGCGGAAGAATAAGAAGAAGGTAAAGAAGTCATCTTTCGAGGGCGAGAGAAGAGCAATGGAGATAACGGGTTGGAATGGTAAACGGGTTTGGGATTAAATTTGGAGGCGTAACTGGCTGTCTTGGGTTTACTGCTATAAAGGTGGGCAGTGATGGTACTTGTGGTAAGGTGTAGTCTAATTGTAACAGACATTTTTAGGTGATGAAGAATTGCTGCTTTGGGGTGTTCTTGGTTTTGCAGTTAAGGTTGTTAGAATGGAAGGCAAAGATCCTTGAAATATTGGATGGAGGCAAGGTAGCCGTGGCTCTGGGAAGAACAAAAGTGGTGGCGCTTAGGGAGCATTTGGTGGTGGACATCATTTTACTGGGGAATATAGGAGATGCCTCACATCTAAAAGACGTCCACAAGTTCGTTTTTGCTTTGAACTTTTTGCACTGCGCCACTGCTTCTTTTTTTTTTTCTTTTTTTTTTTTCTTTCTTTTTCATTTGATAAGTCATCCAACATATCCTAATGACCTTGTGGTCTAGTGACATGAAATAACTTTTTCAAATGAGAAATCATAAGTTTGAGCTTCGGTAGAGACTTTATTAACTCTTTGTGTTTCATAGTACTCAAAAAATCTAACTAATATTCTCTTATTATTTAAATATATATTAAACTAGTTTAGATTATCTTTAATATATCGTCTCTACTCAAATACATGTTAAACTAATTTAGATTATCTTTAACAGACCGTCTCAAATCAATACAACTAATAGACTGAAAATTGTAACTTTGAACATTGAAAATATTCCGTATATAATTAGGTCCAAGTCATGCAAAGTTCGACTCATGCAGTCTTACTTATGGAAAAATTTGTTTCAAAATTTTTCTACTGTTTAACACAATACTTATATCATGGACTATGTCCACATAGTATTATAGATCAATGATACATGTTTATAAATATAAACTATTACAAATGAAAATGTACCAAACTCAATATTGCAAAGTAAATAAATTTGTGTCAAAGTCGGCCTTGCCACATAAACCTCTAAACAAGATGTTTGGTTGGAATGAATGAATTAGGAGGGAAATAATTTGTAATTCAGTGAGAAAATAATAATGTAGAAATACAGTATGAATTAAAATTACAGTTTTGATATGCAATAATATGATTAAATAATGAGGGAGTGAATGAGAATAGTAGGCGTACTAGTGCTATGTTGTGTAAGATAACAAATGAGGGAGTGAATGAGAATAATGTCAGGGATAAAATTCTCTTCACAGCAATATATTTTTCCATTACATCGCTAAATTATAATTCCTAAGGAGTCCTGAATTACAATTCGGTGAATGGAAGGGATTCATTGCAATTCCCTCTAATCAAACAACGTAATTGAGAAAAAAAAAAAACAACAAATTACAATACAACTACAATGAAATTACATCCAATCAAACGGACAATATAATTTGCCTCTTTAACATAACACAATTTTACCAATGTCAATTATTAGAACTTGCAATTCTGTTGATGGCCTATTTATTGTTAATATAATTTGCCTTTTTTAACATAGCACAATTTTACAAAAGTCAATTCTTAGAACTTACAATTCTGTCACTGATCTTGTGATCTAGTGACACGAAATAACTCTCTCAAATAGAATATCATGAGTTTAATTCTCAATTTACATTCGTAACATAGTCAATATTATTTTTAAAAAAAATTACAATTCTATTAATGTCCTATTTATCATTTATATAAGTTGCCTCTTTAACATGCCACAATTTATAAGTCAATTTTTAAAACTTGCAATTCTATTAATGGCCTATTTATCATTTTCTAAAATAGTATTTCATTTTTTTTTTGGTCTTTTTTGTAGGCTTTAGACAAAAGTCATTTCTTACTCTTAATGGCCTGTTTATCATATTTTAAAATAATGTTTCTTTTTATTGTCTCTTTGTGGGCTTTAGGTTAGGTGCAGCCATACATTATGTTTCCGTGGCCTTAGAACTAGCATTCAAAAATGTTATTGGAATGGATCCATTGATGTCTCTTTGGGCTATAATGGGAATCCATACAAATTTTGGGACAGCATCAACTACGCAAATTATGCTGTGCAACCGTGTGCACTATATACGTTGCACACAGTTGTAAAAACAATGTCATTTTAATTAAAAACGCGCGTTCTACTTTAAAAAAAAATCATGTTCGATTTTCGGTAATAGCATTTTTTTGTGCATAATTTGAATTATATATCCACAAATTCATAACTATATATCCACAGTGAATGAATAACACAAAATTCAGAATGAATGAACTAAATATCCATAAATTCATAACTATATATCCACAATAATTCATAACTATATATCCACAATAATACTGTTGAAGGAAATCAAAACTGATTTTTTTTTTTAAATGAGACGCGCGTTTGTAGTCAAAACGACGTCGTTTTGCAACCGTGTGCACCATGTCATAACTATTGAATCAACTAATGGAAGACAAATAACTATACCAATGAAAAGACAAATGGTATACAGCAGCCCATGATCCACACAACGTTTGTGTGGACTATGATCATCACATTAAATTGTAGCATAATTATAAAACAAGTTATGAAACTATAACAAGAGATACTATTCATGAACCTTATACAAATATAATAAATAATATAATATTTTGTTTAATACTTTCACATGTGAATCTATGACACACATCTCACAAACATGTGGGGGAAAAACTACCACTGCCAAATATCAACAAGCGCTTGCAAAATAAAGAGTTTATTGTACAACTAAGATCACAATCATATAAATGATACATATTTCATGCTTCACGATGCTACATGGACCATGATCCACAATACAATTTACCATGAAAAGTTGTAACAAAGAGTTAACTTGAATCCTTATAATTATTTTTAAATATATAATAATCATATTTTCTGTGTTGAGTTGCACCTGTGACATAAACTATGCTTGTGTTTGTGTATAAATGTATAATGGATTGCATATACAATGCTTTTTTATGAGCACAATGGACTGCATTTTTTAAATTTTTATTTAAACACAACATTAAAACTAAAATATGTTTCACTGTTTTATCACCTATATTGTCAACTTTATTACTTTTTGATGGTTAACTATTGAGTTTGTGACACTTGTTTACTTGTCATTCATTAGCCTTTTGTTGTGATTTGGCCGCTAACATTGATGGTAGATGTATAAATTATTATTAAATTTGTCTTAATTGTTATTTTTTTTTGTGTAGCACTGAGTTTTTACCGTCGAACACAGTAACTAATTTTTTCGTTGAATTGTAGGCACCTCTATTAGGTGGAACAATTGGCCTGATTATAGTTCTGAATCGTACAAGAACCGTCCTTATTGCTTTAGTTCGGTTGTTATGGTGTTCGGTTCCGCTTAAATTAAACTATTATCTTATCTACATATAAGTAATATTTTGTTAGAGAAGAAAAATAAATAAAATAATTATTTCAAAGGTAAAAATGTTCATTTAATATTTAAGAAGAAAAATTAACACTTTTAAAATAATTAAGGGGATAAATATAAATAATGAATAGTTCAGGAAAAGAAGTGTTATAAATCTATAGTAAAAGGGGAAAAATTGTCATTTTCTATAAAATTAATGACAAAAAATGATGAAATTAATCTGTCCTAAAAATATCTATGCCCTAAGCCACGCCGCCAGTGAGCGAGCCGTTACGTCCCCACCATCCCCCTGAGGCCGCGTACGACTACCGGTCGGCTATTCACGGTTACCCAAACCAGTGAAATTCCTATCATATCCCCGTCAGCGAACGCTTTTTAACCAGATGACGCAAGGGTACTATGGTCACGTAGCTTAACCCCCCCGTGCCCTAACCCGCCGCGCGAATCGAAAATCGATGCCCGCCTTCTTTATCCGCATATTCTTGATTTCTTTGCATCTTGCTTAACGTCGTTCTACTTCTTTCTTTTCTTCTTCAAATTCATTTATCTTCCTTCCGATTTACTACTACATATTAATATACATATATACACTTGCATACATACATACGTTGATTGGAGTTCTGTGCGAGATTCAGCGGTTTTGTTTAGAATTGGGCGAAAATGGGAGTTCCGGCATTTTACCGGTGGCTGGCGGAGAAGTATTCGATGGTGGTGGTGGATGTGATCGAGGAAGAGGCGGTGGTTATCGAAGGAGTAAAAATTCCGGTGGATACCAGTAAACCTAATCCAAATAATATCGAATTCGATAACCTCTATCTAGATATGAATGGTATTATTCACCCGTGTTTTCACCCCGAAGATCGAGTACGTATCTTTTTAGTTCGTCGCTTATTGCCACTCGTCCGCTTTGCTGTTCATTTAGTGTTTTTAGTACATATCTGTTGACTTCTTCGGGATTTAAGTTTGTGCATGCAATAGAATTAGATTGTGCGTTTGTTTTGGTTTTGGAAGTTGCAGTGAGCATTTGTGAAATAGTTTCCTTCGTTTTTATGGATTTATTATTCGGCATGTGAACTTGTTGCTGTTTTTTTTGATATATATCTGAATGCCATTCAACTGCCAATTATCAGCAAAGGAGAGTTGATTGGTTCTCATATAGCTGCAATTCAAGCATAAATGATGATTTTAAGCTAACTATGTTAAATGCATTGATTTCATATGTGCAAAGTAGGGCCAGTAAGCCTTTTATGTTTTGTTTGTCCTTTGCTTGTTGTAAACTCTCTTGCTGTTTTCTCATGCAGCCTTCTCCTACCACATTCGAGGAGGTATTTCGATGCATGTTTGACTATATAGACAGGCTCTTTGTAATGGTGCGCCCTCGAAAGCTACTGTACATGGCTATTGGTATGTAATAATGCTGTAATGACTTTTTCCATGGTTTTGTATAAAGTGATGCATCCCTCTATACTTATTGCTGGCTTCAAATTATTTGGTAGATGGTGTTGCTCCAAGAGCTAAAATGAATCAGCAAAGGTCTAGGCGTTTTAGAGCCGCAAAAGATGCAGCTGAAGCGGTATGCACAGTTTGGATATTCCTTGACTTGAAATTTAAAATAAAAACTTAAATTAGTTTAGTTTCTAGTTACTGAAATTGCATTTGTAGGCAGCTGAAGAGGAAAGGTTGCGTGAGGAGTTTGAGCAGGAGGGTAGGAAGCTTCCTCCCAAGCAGGAATCACAAACTTTTGATTCAAATGTTATCACTCCTGGAACTCCCTTCATGGCCACTTTGTCAATTGCACTCCAGTACTACATTCATCTCAGGCTAAACTATGATCCTGGATGGAGAAACATTAAGGTGGTTTTCATGTTATTTTTAGTTCAGATAAATGTGGCTTTGTTTTGTTGTATCAATGTATGTCAGTGGTGCTTAGTGTTACAATTACTATTATATTTTTTTGTAGGTTATACTCTCTGATGCGAATGTTCCTGGTGAAGGGGAACACAAAATTATGTCATACATTCGTTTGCAAAGGAACCTTCCTGGTCATGACCCTAATACAAGACATTGTTTGTATGGTCTGGTATGTTTTCTACTTCAAATTACTTGAAAACTTGTGGCTGGAACATTATTCCAATTTGCTTGATACAACTTTCTAAAAAATATTTCCGTTTCCTATTCATAGGATGCAGACCTAATCATGTTGGCTTTGGCTACTCATGAAGTCCACTTTGCTATACTTAGAGAGGTTAGTAATTTAAGTTTTCAATGTCCCTAAGAATGCATTTTTTATTGTGACATATGTGGCTGGTTTGTAGATTTCAAATCTAATACTCCGTATTAACATTGTAGATTTGTATAATTTGAGCTGTTATACATTCTAAATTATGCTCTTTGGTTGCTTGATTTGATTCGTGTACTTTGCCAGTTTATCTATGACTTACTTCCTTTGGTCCGATGGATTGACTTAAATTTTCTTTACTTGTCAGGTTGTATTTACCCCTGGTCAGCAGGACAAATGTTTTCTATGTGGTCAAATGGGCCACTTAGCAGCAGATTGCGAAGGGAAGGCGAAGAGAAAGGCTGGGGAGTTTGATGAAAAAGGTGATACTGAAGTGGTGGCAAAAAAGCCTTATCAGGTTAAGTTTTTGGTTTGATTACAAATCCAGTTCCTTTATGTACGGCATTTGTATTTCTCTGCTTGGTTACTTTGAATTTGTGTTCGTGAATGGTTTACAATTTCAAATTTATATTTGATACCCATGTTTCAGCTTGGTTTATCTGAATTGGCATTTATTGATGGGTTGAAATTTGCAGTTCGTCAATATTTGGACCCTGAGGGAGTACTTGGAGTATGAATTCAGAATTCCAAATCCTCCTTCTGAGATTGATTTCGAGCGCATTGTTGATGATTTTATATTCATGTGTTTCTTTGTTGGGAATGATTTTCTGCCACATATGCCCACGCTTGAGATCCGTGAGGTTTGTTTTATTCTCATTATGATTTGTATTCTGCAAGGACTTTGGACTACTAAGGGTGCATTTGGGAGAGCAGCAGACTGCTCCAATTGCTCTTCGGAATGCCTTTTGGATGAATTGTCTTTGGAGTGGTTCAACATTTCAATAATGGATTAAGGGCTTGGTTAGAGCTGTGCAATTGGAGCGGTTCAACTGTTCGAATCTCACTACCACTATTCCAACCACTCCAATCGCATTGGTCTCCCAAATGGAGCCTAAGTTGATGTGTTGCTCTGACCAACTTTTTTGGCACTATATTCATATGCTTCTCATAAGTAGCACATAGTTCAATGAGTTTCAGATGTTAACAGGCACTTGAAACTAATATTTCTACCATCTTAATGTACTTATTCACTTGCACTTTGTTGTAGAGGTTTCTACTTTTCAGGATATAAGAATTTTTATAACTTGTTCTGGCTTGTGCTCAGGGTGCAATAAACTTGCTCATGGCTGTTTACAAGAAGGAGTTTAGGTTGATGGGAGGGTATTTGACTGATGGCAGCAAGGTATTCAATTTGTATTAAAGAAGGTCTACTAATTTATAGATTTTTTCTTATTAATTGTTCTTGATCTCGTATTCTGTTTTTTTTGGTTGTCTCTCCTACTTTGTATCCTTTTTAGCCAAATCTTGGCTGTGTGGAGCATTTTATACAGGCAGTGGGGTCATATGAAGATAAAATATTCCAGAAAAGAGCACGCTTGCATCAGGTTTCCACTAGTCGAATAATTTATTTTCCTTTTTATTTAATTTTTTTAAACACAACTTAATTCCTACTCTGTTGACTTTGTTATTCCATGGTTTGCATGGTCAGGCAGCCTTTTTTACCCTTTTAAGTTAATTTGAAGTAGCTGTACCATTTGACAGTTTATTGCGTTTATTTCTCCTGTATTCTCACTAGAGGAACTCAAGTTAATAATTTGCAATCTTGTAGAGCAATATATATTAGTCCATTTTAGAATATCATATGGATCTCTCTTGCTTTGTTATTTTCAATAAGCTGGTGCCTGGCTGTCTGTTTGGTTTTAACTTCATATCTTCCCCTCCTCACTATACCTTTCTAAGTTATTTGCTACCATTTCTTAGAGGCAATCCGAAAGAATCAAGCGTGAAAAAGCACAAAAAAAACGAGAAGATTCTGTGCCTGAAGTTGAACCTGAATCGTTGGTTCCAGTTGCTCGGTTTCAGGGTTCTCGTCTTGCATCTGGCCCCTCACCTTCTCCATATCAACAAGGGTTTAGATCTGACCAAAAGTTGCGGTCTGGAAATTCTCATGATGGCCATACTCATAACCATGCTACAAAAGTTGCACGCTTGGCATCTGCAGCCACAGTAGGAGCTGCAATTGTTGAGGCTGAGAATAGCCTTGAAATTGAAGTATGTTTTCCTGCTTCAGGAGAGGCAGTTTAATGTAATTTTTACTCCTGTCATGCTTTAGGGCTTATATTATATATAACTTAGTGATTAATTAGTTTATGGTTTGCGTATAATTTGGCATTTCTAACAGTATTATTGTTGCTACCTTATTTGGTTGACGTTGTGTTTACTATTAATTAGTGGTAGTACTTTCTCTCTGTGGGCTTGATTGCAGTGTTTAACTTAATTTTTCTTTTTGTATCCAAGGTGCGTGATAACAAAGAAGATTTGAAAACCAAGCTGAAAGAGCTACTTCGTGAAAAGAATGATGTTTTCAACTCAGAAAATCCTGAAGAAGACAAGGTTGTGAATTATATAAACTGGGCTATGTGCCGTGTAATTGTAAAACTTTATTTATTTATTTATACTGATTTTGCGTTTCATGAAGACCAAACATTATGATGCTTTGTTTTTTCTGTCCCCAAGTTCATATTTAGGCTTTACTTGTATAATTCATTAATGTGCATTGATATCACTTGTTTTAATATCTGTTGTGTTTTATCTGAATGGGCAAGCATGAGTTTAGCACAGAAGTAAATTTATTTTGCTTTATAATTGAACTAGATGCTGAAAATATTTTTTTTAAAATTGTTTTCCTTTTATTATTAATTTATTATTTTTATTATTTGTCCTGTGGAACATTGTGAAATTCCTCCATATAAATAATCAAAGTTGCTGTCTGCTATGTGGTTAATATTTGTCACTGCATTATGAGTGGTTATTTTCTGATTTTCTTTTATAGATCAAGCTGGGAGAGCCAGGTTGGAAAGAGAGGTATTATGAGGATAAGTTCTCTGCAAAAACACCTGAGGAAATGGAAGAGATACGGAAAGATGTTGTAAGTTATCTTGAATGTGCTAGTCAAACAGCCTCCAGTACAATGCTGCTCTACTCACTAATGTTGTGGGCTAAGATAGTTCCCACATGATTAAAAAAATTTCCTTTTATGCTCTCATTAAAAAAGACTCTACATGGGTAAAACATTTGTTCTATTGTTAATTGTCCATTACAAATCATCAATACTGTTTTGTTTAAACTCTTAAGAAGAACACCAAGGGAAATAAGGGTATTGTATATTGTTCCTTTATCATTTGAACCTAGTTTTCTGTGAGTATAAATTAATTGTATCTTTGGGTTTTCTCGTAGGTTTTGAAATACACTGAAGGCCTATGCTGGGTTATGCACTATTATTATGAAGGCGTTTGTTCCTGGCAGTGGTAAAAAAGTTGTCCTTTTTGAAGTTGGTTAATTTTTCTGTTCAATTCTTTGTGGACATGAGGTACTTGAGAGCTAGTATATATTGTTACTACATTAACGTATGATATAAGCAGTATATATATCCTACACACGCATATATACTTTCTGAAATGTGCTAGTACAAGTATTTGAATTTGTGCATGCACATGCAGATTGTTGTGTGAATCTGAATAACAGTTTGTATAGCGTAGAAATCTTAATATTTTATGTTATCACCATTGCACTCCTTGATCATATAAAATGCCTTTCTTATAGGTATTACCCGTATCACTATGCACCATTTGCTTCAGACTTGAAGGAACTTGCAGGATTGAGCATAAGCTTTGAATTGGGTACTCCATTTAAACCATTCAACCAACTGTTGGGTGTGTTCCCTGCAGCAAGGTTTGTACAAGTATCTTTCTATTTTATTTCTTTTCAAGCTATGGTGTTTTTTGGTGTTCTAACTGGGTCATATGCAGTTCACATGCACTTCCTGAGCATTATAGGAAATTGATGACAGACCCAAACTCGCCTATTATTGATTTTTATCCCACTGGTATTTTTTTATCGCTTAATGTATTCATTTTTTAAACGTAATGGATTTGTGTTTATATGGTTGTTATGATTGTAGATTTTGAAGTGGACATGAATGGCAAGAGGTTTTCTTGGCAGGTATTGATTAAAACATTTATAATTTTGCTTTCTGAGAAAGGATATCTTCTGTGATGATGTTTATCATGCAACTGAATTAAAATATTTCTTGATGTCAAGGGCATTGCCAAATTGCCTTTCATTGATGAAGCTCGGCTCCTTGCAGAGGTTGCAAAAGTTGAACATACATTGACGGTAAGGTTATCTATCCTTAATACCCAATTGAGCTCAAGAGATTAGTATTTTAATCGATCATGTAATCACATTTATGCAGGATGAAGAAGCACGGAGAAACAGTATGATGCTTGATATGCTCTTTGTGTCATTGTCTCATCCACTATCTCCATACATCTTCTCTCTTGATCATCGCTGTAAACAGCTGACTGAAAAAGAAAGGGTTGAAGCAAAGGAGCCTATTGACCCAGGGGCAAGGTTTGTATTGCAATATTTGCTATTAAGTGAAAATCCTTCAGTCCTTAAATATGCATTTAGTTCATATGCTGGAAGCAACTCTATTTGTCTTTATTGCCTAAATTTGTGAATTGAGTCTGTTTTATGATATTTCATTATTCCTTCTTAGATGATATTTTTAACTGTGTCACCTATAAAATGTGATTGTGTACAGTGGTGGGATGAATGGCTATTTATCCCTCTGTGGGGGAGATCCGTGTCCTCCAGTTTTTAGATCACCTGTTCAAGGAATGGAAGATATTATGGATAACCAAGTCATGTAAGAAGTTTGGCCTTTTAAGATCACTACAAACAATTGTCTGAGTAGGTAAAATATCTGAGTTTGTTACTTACCTTATTTGTCTTTTCAACTTATATTTGCAGATGTGCAATATACGGACTTCCAAATGCCCATAAACACATTACTCGACCTCCAAATGGGGTTATTTTGCCGAAGAAGGTATTCATTGTCAAATTACATTATTATTATTATTATTATTATTATTATTATTATTATTATTATTTAATATCATTTGAATCTAGTGATATGTTGCCTTTGTTTCTTTTCAAAGTTAATAAGCCTGTGTGCTAGGAGCATTTATTTGCTCAATGTTCAAGCCTTGCATAGTTTGTAAAATTTTGCATCATGGGCTTTCACTTCTAACTGCAATGGGAACTGTATTTATTTGAACATTGTTATGTTATTCTCTGCAAGTTATGCTGACTGGAAAATTTTTTTGAAGCAACTACATTTCTCTGTGTTTGCGTAATATATATATGTATGTATCTATTATGTCAGACATTATTGCACTTCTTTGTTTTCCAGACTGTGACATTTGGTGACATGAAGCCGGAGCCTGTACTTTGGCATGAGGATTCTGGAAGGAGACCTAGGGATAATGGAAGGTAAAATGCATTCCACTGGTTTGATTGCTATCAGCTGTAAATGTTACGTAGTACAAGTTTATCTTTCTAGCATGAACAACCACCCTGATGGCCTGATGTAAGATTTTTTTTTCCCCAGAAACAATAACACAGGAGCTATGACTGGTCGACAACTTGGTGAGGCTGCACATCGACTTGTAGCTAATAGTTTACAGATAGCAGATAGGGGTGACTATGGTGATCATAGGTACGGACCGCCTACATCCTACCCCGGTGCTTATGGTCCACCATTGCAATCCTATCAAACGAACAGATATAATGGCCACGAGCACACAAGGTTTGTGCCTAATTCAAGCTATTCTGCTCGAGATGCTGGAGGTTACCAGAGGTCATCACATTCAACAGTCTCGCAACACCACCTTTATGATGATAATCATAGCCAGACTAATGCTTATTCGGGCTCTCATCATGCCTACAGGAGGCCTAATCCTCATCATGAAAGGATTGACCAATCTGTTGCCCAGAGTAGGGATTATCATAGACATGGATATTATGCACCAGGGTTGCAGCACAATGGGGGACACTCCTACCACTCAGGTGCCACACACCATCAACATGTGCACTTAACTCCCCATCCACCACCAACTCATATACCCAATCACAGAGGATATAATCATCAACCTTACGAGTCTGGTAGTTATAATCATTTGGGCAGTGGTCAAGGTCCTCATAGCAACCCAGGTGGTGGCAGAGGATATAATTATCCACACCAATCAAGCAATCAATATGCAGCTTTAAATAGGGGATCAAATAGACGACCACCTTCTGACTATCGGCGCTAGAGGGGTAGTATTTTAGCTTTGGACTTCTCAGTTTAACCTTTGTAGCTTTGAATTTGATGTTACATCAACTCACCAAGCAGATGTATGGAGCCAGGGGAGGATGGATCATCAGTGTTGCCTGGAGCAATTGCTTGCCGATCTGTTTTGTGCTTAGCTTTGTAATTTGTACCATAGTGTCTCATTACCTCATTATTTTTATGTTATATTTGTTTTTTTCTAAAGATATAAATTTAATGTACTTCAATTTGTTGTAACCGGTTACTGATTGACGGGAAAGGTTGTAATCTTGGATAAAAGTTTTTGTATTCCGTTGAATCATTTGAACCAATTGTTAGTTTGTTATGGGAATGAGAAGCGAGCATGATTAGAATACATCCTTTGCCTGTAATCATCAATTTTTAAGCAACCTGTGTGTAACATGTATTTCGATTTGGGAAAACAAATTTTATATCTAATTTTTACTCCCTCTAATATATATTTGAATGTAGACCACTTTCCTTGGACCCACAAGATGTAAATGTTTTATCCATGCTTGTCATATTAGGGAGTAGAATTTAATTTGAAAGTCCAAAGTAGAACTTTTCCAATTGTTGCCTACGGGATTGGGATTGCAAAGACAAAAATCACAGATTTGAGGAATAGAAGTGTCCTTGATATTTCTCGGTGGCAGCCATAAACCGTTTTATGCATCTACATGATAGGGACATTGGGACACCATACACACACTAAAAGCCGGTGGACAAAGCTCCATGATAGGGACTGCACTACTAAATATCTTTACGAAATTAAAAATGTAGTCCCAAAGTTAGCAATTATTCAAAAATGGGGTCAGTTTTTCCATTGCAAAATGTTGTTTTTTCTCTTAAATTTAATAATTTCGAGTTGACAATCAACACTGACATTGTGTATATCTTTAATCCTTTTTTTTTCTTTCTTTATTTTAAATTTGGAAAATTCAACCAATCATATCATCCACGACGGCGGCATTTGCACTGATTTTAACAATTCGGGGCTCTTTATCGACAGTTATCTGGCCAGCTCACGAAAAGAGAGGCAGAGCTTTATCTCGAACCCCGACCGCCGTCGCCGAATCTGGTCGGAAGCGGACGACGGACCACCGTCCTCATCTCCAAAACAAAGGTATGTATATAATATCTTTAATAGCTTTCACATATTGTCTTTTTCTCAAGCAGGCCAAACGCTTATGAGATATTTTGATCTGCAACTGCAAGTGTGTTATTGGCGATATTAGACTCCGTACTTTCCTGGCTTTCTAGTAACTAAAAATGTTTAAACTCTTGCATTCAGTAAGTTTTTAGAAGTCGGAGAGAATTGAAGAGGTATATGGTATTGATGGAGGGAACGACTCGGTGCTCTGCGAACTACGTTCCGCTGACTCCGATCAGCTTCTTGGAGCGCTCTGCTTTGGTGTACGGAGATAATGTATCTATAATCCATGGCTCTCTCAACTTCACATGGAAACAGACCCGTGATAGGTGTGTCAGCCTCGCTTCTGCTCTCTCCCTCATCGGAATCTCTCGCCACGACGTCGTAAGTGTGTTATGATTTAACCACTGTCTGATTTAACCATAAGTCCATATGGTAGTAGCTTATTCATATTTTTACTGTGTAGAAAACCCTTGAAATTATTTGGATATTTACTTTCAAGTGTGATCTGTTCTTCCTCTAATCTAGTTAAGCTAATGACATTTCCTGAAATGCAGTACATATTTATAAATATGTAAACAATGCCCTCAAGAAATTTGAAAACTTTGTAGCTTCCACATTATCTGTCTTTTATACAAAAGATAGGTGGGCTAATTTTATTTTGGATAGGCATTTGTATGGTTATATAGTTTGTGTATTTCCTAATCCTCCTCTTTGTCTTTACTAATCTTTTGGATGCAATTTTAAGGTGGCTGTTTATACGAGGAAAAGAACTGAATGGCTGCTGAGGGGCATTGCCATTGAATTTGATGTGACTTGTTCTATATTCAATTGTCCATCTCCCAATCTTTTGCTCCTTAATATGTTAGCATTGAAATGATGACTTAATTTTTTTTTATTGATTTTGTATTCTTTCTCCATAGCCTTGAGCCTACTTGTGTAACTATTTGAGCTGCAGGTTGCTGTCTTGGCTCCAAATATTCCAGCAATGTATGAGCTACACTTTGGAGTTCCAATGGCTGGGGCAGTCCTTTGCTCGCTTAATACACGCCATGATTCAGCAATGGTGGCAGTGCTGCTGAAACATTCAGAGGCCAAAGTCATATTTGTAGATGACCAGTTCCTTGATATTGCCAAGGGAGCCCTTGAGATTCTATCGAGGTCAGGTATCAAGTTGCCTCGCGTAGTTGTAATCCATGACAGTGATGTGAAGCAATCGGGCACTTTTTTCAACAAAATGTCATCGGCACAAGGGAGTTTGGAGTATGAGTCCTTTTTAGCAAGCGGAACAAGTGATTTTGAGATAATATGGCCAAATGATGAATGTGATCCAATAGCTCTGAATTATACTTCAGGCACAACATCTAGTCCTAAAGGAGTTGTTTATAGCCATAGAGGAGCCTATCTTAATGCTCTGGCTGCAGTTCTTCTCAGCGAGATGACCTCAATGCCAGTCTATTTATGGGTTGTTCCTATGTTTCATTGCAATGGTTGGTGTCTTACTTGGGGCGTGGCAGCACAGGGCGGAACAAATGTTTGTTTGAGGAGCGTCACAGCAAAAGGAATATTTGACAAGATAGATCATCATAATGTAAGCCACATGGGTGGAGCACCTACAGTTTTAAACATGATAATAAATGCACCACCAGATGTTAAGAGGCCGCTTCCAAGAAAGGTTGCAGTCATGACAGGTGCTGCACCACCCCCTTCTCATGTTCTCTTCAAGATGGAGGAGCTAGGATTTGTAATCATTCACTCGTATGGTTTAACCGAAACATATGGTCCAGGAACAATATGTGTGTGGAAACCCGAGTGGAATTCTTTACCGCCTAATGCTCGGGCAAAACTCAAGGCCCGTCAAGGATTACACCACATTGGCATGGAGGTGGTAGATGTTAAGGACCCTGCAACAATGAAGAGTGTGCCACCAGATGCGAAAACACTAGGTGAAGTGATGTTCAGAGGCAACACGGTGATGAATGGGTATTTCAAAGATTTGAAAGCGACAGAAGATGCTTTTAAAGGTGGGTGGTTTCGAAGTGGTGACTTGGGAGTGAAACACCCTGATGGCTACATAGAGTTGAAGGATCGATCAAAAGACATCATTATTTCAGGCGGAGAAAACATTAGCACAATTGAGGTGGAGTCCGTAATTTTTAGCCATCCAGCTGTTCTTGAGGCGGCTGTGGTGGGTAGACCAGATGATCACTGGGGTGAGACAGCTTGCGCATTTGTTAAGCTTAAAGATGGATATAATGTGAGCGCCAATGAAATTATCAAGTACTGTCGGGATCATTTGCCACATTACATGGCTCCAAAAACTGTGATTTTCAATGATTTGCCTAAAACCTCAACAGGGAAGACACAGAAGTTCATTCTCAGGCAAAGGACCAAAGCTATGGGAAGTCTTTCAAAATCAAGCAGACTCTGAGGTACATCTGTCCTACAACTCTAAGCTGAGGCTTTAACATTGTTTGAAATATAGAATTGTTTGTAAGAAAATGCGCTAATGGCTAATAATAATGCAGTTGTAATGACATTGTTCTTAATACATGCATGTAGTGTTCTTATTATTATCTTTATTATTTGTCCTGTGGAACGAAAATCCTGAAGAAGGCAAGGTTGTGAAATATATATACTGGCTATGTTGTGTAATTCAGTAATTGTAAACTCTTTTTTAAATTATTTACTGATTTTGTGTTTCATGAAGACCAAACATTATGATGCATTGTTTTTTTGTCCCCAAGTTCATATTTAAGCTGCACTTGTATAACTCATTAATGTATCACCATGTTTTAATATCTGTTGTGTTTTATCTGAATGGGCAAGCAGGAGGGTAGCACAGAAGTAATTTATATCCTACACCACGGTGCGCGTTGCACTATGCGCCCAGATGCAAAACGACGTCGTTTTAATTTTAATTTTTTTTTTTTGAAATTTCCCGCCCCAGTGAATGGCAGTAGTTTTTTCTTTAAAAAAAAAACCCGCTATTCAAGAATGTACATAATGTTATACTAGAATACACATAATTGTATACATGAATGTACATAATTATATAACAAAATATACATACTCTTTTTAAAAGATAATACACATAATCTAACATAATACATAATAAACATAAACTTTTAACATAATACACATCAACTATTAACATAATACACACAAATTTTCTGATTCGTATGTACATAATTGTATAAAAAGAATGCACATAATTGTATAAAAAATGTACATAACTGTATGAACCAATACACATAACTGTATGAACAAATACACATAACTGTGTGAACAAATACACATAATTCCAGCAACTTCCTACCGCGCCTCCCAAAACGACGTCGTTTTGGGAGGCGCGCGGCGCACAGTGCTATGTGCGCCGTGGTGTAGGGTATAACGATTGGAAGTAAATTTATTGGGCTTGCTTCTTCTTCTTCCAAATACTGACTACTAAGCCACTAAGCTAAGCCCATGCGGGCATAATTGTGTTTTCTAACCACTGGTTTAGTAGCCAGTGTCATTTTTCGCCAAAATCTAGGGATGGCAACGGGGCGGGGAGTATACTCCCCGTCCCCGTCCCCGTCCCCATCCCCGGCGGGGAATTAAAAATATTCCCCATCCCCATCCCCACGAGGAATTAGCCGGGGACAGGGATTCCCCATTCCCCGTCAACTCCTAGTTAAAATGTTAAATTTTTAATTTTTGTTAATAAAAAATTTAAAATCTAAGTCTTAGTTTCAAAACTAAAATACTAACTCTACAAATAAATAAATAAATAAAATACTAACAATATACTATTTATATTTATATATGCAATGAAGTATATACAGTAGCAATACTGCAACTTATATAAACATAACAACATTAACTATATATATATATTCATTACATATATAAATATATATAGTATTCTCTTAGTATTTTATATATATATATATATATATATATATATATATATATATATATTATTCGGGGACGGGGCGGGGCGGGGGAGGGGTATCCCCGTCCCCGTCCCCGATCCCCAAAAATTTTTCCCATCTCCGTCTCTTTCGGGACGGGGATCGGGGATCCCCGTCGGGGACGGGGCACATTGCCATCCCTACCAAAATCTCTTCATTTTTCTCCGTTAATAAAAAATGTTTTTCGTTGACTGAATTTTCCTATTACATCCAAACACTGAAAACCCAAAAAAACTTTTTACAAAAATCGTTTTTCGTGTTTTCAGACGTACCTAATTGTTAGTTTGTTACTTTCCCAGGGAATGAGAAGCCAGAATGATTAGATTACATCTTTTGCCTATAATCATCAAATTTTAAGCAACCTATGTGTAACATGTATTTCCAATTGTGCCTACGGGATTGCATAGATAAAAATGACATAGATCTGAGGAATAAAAGAGAGGAAATTTGATTGGATGGATAGAGACAAGGGATGTGGCCCATATACACTAAGGGATATTTGATTGGATGGATCGGAAAACATTTTTGTGAGGAATTTTTTATTTATTTATTTTTTTTTTTTGGAAATCTTGTGAGGATTTTTTTTTTTTTTTTTTTTTAATAAAAGTTGTGAAAAATGATGTTTTATGTTGTTTGATTCATTGAACTCATTTTTCGTTGAAAAATTAATAAATTCATTTTTCATTGAAAAATGTTCCTAAAAATTGAGGAAAATAATGTTTTATGTTGTTTGATTCATGGAATTCATTTTCAAATGAATTCGTAAAAGTTGAGGAAAATAGTGTTTTATGTTGTTTGATTAATGTAATTCATTTTGAATTGAAAAATGAATTCCTAAAAATGAAGGAAAGTTATGTTTTATGTTGTTTAATTCATGGAATTCATTTTCCGTTGAAAAATTAATTAATGAATTCGTTTTTTATTGAAAAATGTTCCTAAAAATTAAGGAAAATAAATATTTTATGTTGTTTGATTCATGGAATTGATTTGAATTCCTAAAAGTTTTGGAAAACGTTTTCAAAGGGGAGGGTGTGATATTTTTTGTTTCTTTCATGAAATTTGAGAATAACCGAACAAAGTATTACATAATAGGACTATTTTGTCTTTATAGAACATTTTTAAATATCTTAGACTATGATGTGTATAATAATTTTTATTATATTATTATAATTACATATATAATTATAATATTTAAATTTATGATATTGTATTATTATATTTTATAAATAATAATACTTTAACTTAAAAATCACTATTACTTTTATTATTATCATCATTGTGTAGAAATATTTTGATCTTTATACTTATTATTTCTTACCATTGTAATCCTAACTAATTGTTAGTTTGTTATTTTCCCAGGGAATGAGAAGCCAGCATGATTAGATTACATCCTTCGCTTATAATCATCAATTTTTAAGCAACCTATGTGTAAATGACATAGACATAAATGACCTACGTGGCTACGGGATTGCATAGACAAAAATGACATAGATCTGAGGAATAGAAGTGTCATTGTTAGTACTTTAGTGGCAGCCATAACCGTTTTATGCATCTACATGATAGAGACAAAGGGATGGGGCTATGGCCATATTAGGGGTGTAAATGAACCGAGCAGCTCGCGAGCCGCTCGGCCAAAACTCGGCTCGAGCTCGGTCAAAATTGAGCTCGTGCTGAGCTCGAGCGGCTCGTTTAGTAATCGAGCTCGTGCCGAGCTCGAGTGGTTCGTTTAGTAATCGAGCTCGAGCCGAGCCTAGATATTCTAGGCTCGTGGCTCGTCGAGCCATATAATATATAATATATATAATATATAATACATAATATCATATAATAATAATAATAATAATAATATATAAAAATAACAATTAGAAATTAAAATTTTAACATAAAAGATTTATATTATTTATGTATGGATAAAACAAAGTAGTTTGAATTTTTAATCAAAAGTTTTAAATAGGTCAAATTCAATGTCAAAATCGAGCTCGAACTCGAGCTCAAGATCGAACTCGAGTTCGAACTAGAACAATCGAGCTGCTCGAGCAGCCTGAAAATTACCGAGCTCGAGCTCGAGCCGAGCCTTCATTAACGAGCTCGAGCCTACCCAGGCTCGAGCTCGGCTCGGCTCGTTTACACCCCTAGGCCATATAGGGGTTTGCAAACTTCGGATAATTTTCGGTTAACCGATCGAACCGACAAAGTTCGGTTAACCGTTTTCGAACCGAACTTTTTCGGTTCGATTAATGGTTAAAAGAATTTTAAAACTTCGGTTAACGGTTAATTCGGTTCGAAAGGTCGGTTAACCGGAGTTTTTAATATATATATATATATATATATATATATATATATATATATATATATATATATATAAATACTAATTTGAAGTTATAATGTTTGGAGTTTATAATTAATGTTTTTGTATATTTTATTGTGAATTTATTATGATATGTATTTTATTTTAATTGAATTTATTATTTTAGGTGTTATTTTTAGAATTTTAAATTTTAGCTTTAAAAAGTTTGGTTAATCGGTTAACCGATCAATTAACCCAAAAAAATTCGATTCGGTAAATTCGGTAGAGCAAACTTCGGTTCGGTTAACGGTTAAAGGAAAAAAAACTTCAATTAATTCGGTTCGGTTAAAACGGTTCAGTTAATTGTACGGTTAACCGATTGAACACCCCTAGGGCCATATACACTAAGGGGTATTTGATTGGATGGAAAACATTTTTGTGAGAAAAAAAATTTCATAAAAGTTGTGAAAAATGATGTTTTATGTTGTTTGATTTATGGAATTCATTTTTCCGTTAGAAAATGTATGAATTAATTTTTCGTTAGAAAATGAATTCGTAAAAGTTGAGAAAAATAGTGTTTTATGTTGTTTGATTAATGTAATTCATTTTCCATTGAATATGAATTCCTAAAAATGAAGGAAAATTATGTTTTATGTTGTTTGATTCATGGAATTCATTTTCCGTTGAAAAATTAATTAATGAATTCATTTTTCGTTGAAAAATTAATTAATGAATTCATTTTTTATTGAAAAATGTTCCTAAAAATTAAAGAAAATAAATGTTTTATGTTGTTTGATTCATGGAATTCATTTGAATTCCTAAAAGTTTTGGAAAACGTTTTCAAAGGGGAGGGTGTGATATTTTTTTTTTCTTTCATGAAACTTGAGAATAACCGAACAAAGTATTACATAATAGGACTATTTTGCCTTTATAGAACATTTTTAAATATCTTAGACTATGATGTGTATAATAATTTTTATTATATTATTATAATTACATATATAATTATAATATTTAAACTTATGATATTGTATTATTGTATTTTATAAATAATAATACTTTAATTTAAAAATCACTATTACTTTTATTATTATCATCATTGTGTAGAAATATTTTGATCTTTATACTTATTATTTCTTACTATTGTAATCCTAACTAATTGTTAGTTTGTTACTTTCCCAGTGAATGAGAAGCCAGCATGATTAGATTACATCCTTTGCTTATAATCATCAATTTTTAAGCAACCTATGTGTAAATGACATAGAAATAAATGACCTACGTGGCTACGGGATTGCATAGACAAAAATGACATAGATCTGAGGAATAGAAGTGTCATTGTTAGTACTTAGTGGCAGCCATAACCGTTTTATGCATCTACATGATAGAGACAAAGGGATGGGGCCATATACACTAAGGGGTATTTGATTAGATGGAAAACATTTTTGTGAGAAAAAAGTTTTTATAAAAGTTGTGAAAAATGATGTCTTATGTTGTTTGATTCATGGAATTCATTTTCCGTTATAAAATGTATGAATTAATTTTTCATTAGAAAATGAATTCGTAAAAGTTGAGAAAAATAGTGTTTTATGTTGTTTGATTCATGTAATTCATTTTCCATTGAATTGAAAAATGAATCCCTAAAAATGAAGGAAAATTATGTTTTATGTTGTTTGATTCATGGAATTCATTTTCCGTTGAAAAATTAATTAATGAATTCATTTTCCGTTGAAAAATTAATTAATGAATTCATTTTCCGTTGAAAAATTAATGAATTCGTTTTTTATTGAAAAATGTTCTTAAAAATTGAGGAAAATAAATGTTTTATGTTGTTTGATTCATGGAATTCTCAAAAGTTTTTGGAAAACATTTTCAAAGGGGAGGGTGTGGTATTTTTTTTTTTTTAAATCTTTCATGAAACTTGGGAATAACCGAACAAAGTATATTACATAATAGGGTTCTCGGAATTCTTGTTGGAGATTAGCAAGTAAATTTCATATATATCATCACCATTTTTATTTAAATAAAATTACATGTCAGCAGTGTGGAGTGGCAACCTGAAGGTAACCTGCAAAAAAAAAAAAAAAAGTTAATCGACAAATTTTTAGAGGTAAGTGTGTCCAATTAGAGGGGAGAATTGGACACTTCGAAGTAGTAGATGTGCCTATTTGACATTTGTGTCTTTTTTTTTTCATATACTTGAAAACAACCAAACAAAGTATTACATGATAGGAATATTTTACTCTTATAGAACATTTTTAAATACCTTAGACCAAAATGTGTATAATAATTTTTATTATATTATTATAATAAAATATATAATATCAATATTAATATTACCAATAATTTTTTTTTTCTAATTTGGAAACTTCAACCAATCAAGTCATCCGTGACGGCAGCATTTGCACTAATTTCCACAATTCGTGGCAAAAAAATAAAATAAAAATAAAAACTGAAACAGTTACCTGGTTTTAAGTAGCTAAAATCATTAGTTTGATGGAACACTTGACTTTTCTGGTTGTAGTAACTAAAAACGATTATATTGATTGGACTCTTAAATTTTCTAGTTTTTAGTACCTAAAAATGATTATTTTGATGGGACTCTTAATTTTTTTAATTAGTTTTTAGCAGCTAAAAATAATTATAAATACTCTTGCATTCTGTTTAAAAAAAGAAAAAAAAAAAAAAACTCTTGCATTCAGTAAGTTTGAGAAGTCAGAGAGAAGAGGTGTATAGTATTGATGGAGGGAACCACTCGGTGCTCTGCGAACTATGTTCCGCTGACTCCCATCAGCTTCTTGGAGCGCTCAGCTTTGGTGTATGGAGATAATGTATCTATAATCCATGGCTCTCTCAACTTCACATGGAAACAGACCCGTGATAGGTGTGTCAGCCTCGCTTCTGCTCTCTCCCTCATCGGAGTCTCTCGCCACGACGTCGTAAGTGTGTTATGATATATATATATATATATATATATATATATATATATATATATATATATGTGTGTGTGTGTGTGGGGGGGGGGTAGTAGCTTATTCATATTTTTAGCTTTCTCCCTAACCTTTTGCTAGCCTACTTGTACGCAGTGTTGCAAAAATCGCGCGTAGGCGCTGATTAATTAGCATCTGGCGCTAGGCTGTCGGTCTCCTAGGCGTCCTAGGCACTCGTCTAGGCTGTCGGTCTCCTAGGCGTCCTAGGCACTCGTCTAGGCTGTCGGTCTCCTAAGCGTCCAAGGCACTCGTCTAGGCAGTTCACAGGGGCCTAGTAATTTTTTCAATATTGCTTGTACGTGTAACTAACTAACTAACTAATTAACTATTTGAGCTGCAGGTTGCTGCCCTGGCTCCAAATATTCCAGCACTGTATGAGCTACACTTTGGAGTTCCAATGGCTGGGGGAGTCCTTTGCACGCTTAACACCCGTCATGATTCATCAATGGTTGCAGTGTTGCTGAAACGTTCCGAGCCCAAAGTCATATTTGTAGATGATCAGTTCCTTGATATTGCCAAGGGAGCCCTAGAGATTCTATCAAGCTCAGGAGCTATCAATTTGCCTCGGGTAGTTGTAATCCATGACCACAATAATGGTGTGAAACAATCTTTTTTTAAAGGGAGTTTGGAGTATGAGTCATTTTTAGCAAGTGGAACAAGTGATTTTGAGATCATATGGCCAAATGATGAGTGTGATCCAATAGCCGTGACTTATACTTCTGGCACAACTTCTACTCATCCTAAAGGAGTGGTTTATAGCCATAGAGGAGCCTATCTTAATGCCCTGGCCTCAGTTCTTCTCAACCACATGACCTCAATGCCGGTCTACTTATGGGTTGTTCCTATGTTTCATTGCAATGGTTGGTGTCTTACTTGGGGCGTGGCGGCGCAGGGCGGCACGAATATTTGTTTAAGGACCGTCACGGCCAAAATAATATTCGACAACATAGACCGTCATAATGTAAGCCACATGGGCGGAGCACCCACGGTTTTAAACATGATAGTAAACGCACCACCAGATGTTAAGAGACCGCTTTCCAAAAAGATCGCGGTCATGACGGGTGGTGCACCGCCCCCTTCTCAAGTTCTCTTCAAGATGGAGGGGCTAGGGTTCGAGGTCATTCATGCGTATGGCTCAACCGAGACGTATGGTCCCGGGACCATATGCATGTGGAAGCCCGAGTGGAATTCTTTGTCCCCTGAAGCACAGGCGAAACTCAAGTCCCGTCAAGGAGTCCACCACATTGGGATGGGAATGGTGGATGTTAAGGACCCTGAGACCATGAAGAGTGTGCCGCCAGATGCCAAGACAATAGGTGAAGTGATGTTCAGAGGCAATACTGTGATGAATGGGTACTTGAAAGATTCGAAAGCCACTGAAGATGCTTTTAAAGGTGGGTGGTTTAGAACTGGCGACTTGGGAGTGAAACACCCTGATGGGTACATAGAGGTGAAGGATAGGTCAAAAGACATCATTGTTTCAGGCGGAGAAAACATAAGCACAATCGAGGTTGAGTCCGTGATTTTTAGCCATCCGGCTGTTCTTGAGGCGGCTGTGGTGGGCAGACCGGACGATCACTGGGGCGAGACGCCTTGCGCATTTGTGAAGCTTAAAGATGGGTATAATAACGTGAGCGCCGATGAAATTATGAAGTACTGTAGGGATCATTTGCCAGATTACATGGTTCCAAAAACTGTGATTTTCAATGATTTGCCTAAAACCTCAACAGGGAAGACACAGAAGTTCATTCTCAGGCAAAGGACCAAAGCTATGGGAAGTCTTTCAAAATCAAGCAGACTCTGAGGTTTTAACGTTGTTTGAAATATAGAAATAATGTTTGTAAGAAAATGCCCTAATGGCTAATGCAGTTGTATTGACATTGCTCTTAATAATATAATTATGCAGGGCAAAGTTCCAATAAGTCACAACCAAAGTCAAAGAAATTCAAGGGAAATATATAAAGATAAAAAAAGCTCTTTAGAACAAAGCTACTTTGTAGCCTCCTATTATATTACAATTTACATTGCTAAGTTGAATTGCAGGAAATGAAATGAAATGAAAGTTAAGAAGTTGATAGAGGTCCTTTTTGTATTCCCCTTCTCAAGCTTCCCATCCCCTAAGAACTGTAGCCCGGGCTACACGGTTAACTCCTAAGGTAAATGCACCCATACGAAGATCACAGTTGTGGGTGTTGCACATATCCTTGACATCTTTAAAGCCTCTGGTCATATATTTATGAAGTTGTGCATTCACTTTCTCCTCATCCCACATAAACCCTTGAATGTTCTACAAGAAAGAAAGATTAACATATTCATCAATAATTTAGGATAGTAAGTAGTTGTGGGTGGTGAAGGCAACAAATTAAAGGTAATTACCTGAACCCACTCAAAATAGTTGACTGTAACTCCACCTGAGTTTGCATAGATGTCTGGTAGAATCACAACTCCTTTCTTTGCTAAAATCTGCAGATCGAATACATTAGTATACATTCATTGATATATCAATGGGTTTGAAATTGTGATTACACCTTAGCTTGATCCTACACTAACCTCATCAGCTTCAGGATCAGTTGGATGGTTAGCTGCCTCAACAATGAATTTCGCTTTGATGTCCTTTGCATTATCCCTTCAATCAAATTCAGATCAGAGAATCAGAATATATCATTTCAATTCTTAGCTAGCTTTCTTGGAAATATATATCCTATCCGTACCTGTTAATGACACCTCCCAGGGCAGCTGGAATTAGAATGTCGCAGTCTTGAACCAGAATGGAGTTTGGATCCACATCCACTGCATCATCCCCACCATGGAAACCTTTCACACCATTATTCTCCTTCACATGTTTGATTAGGGCAGGGATGTCTAGTCCTTTCTCACTCTTTATCACACCAGTGACATCACTAACAGCGACAACCTTCCCACCTTGCTGACTGATGAGCAGAGCAGCCCAAGAACCAACATTTCCAAATCCCTGTATAACAAAGCGCTGCCCAGCAATGCTCTTCCCGTACTCTTTAAGCATTGCTTCAGTTGCATAGAGAACTCCCCTTCCTGTTGCTGCATCCCTGCCTAGAGATCCACCCAGGTCCTGTTTAATTTTCAAGAAAACAAGTTAAAATTTTCTCTAATACTTCAGAATCTATCAAGATTCAACTTGTTAATTCTGTACGTGCACTACTTACAATAGGTTTTCCTGTAACTATAGCTGGTGAATAGCCATGGAATTTTGAGTACTCGTCGAGAATCCATGCCATTGTCTGTGGACCTGTTCCCATATCGGGAGCCGGGATATGTATCTGGACGCCAATCAGATCATGGATTTTCTGAGTAAAAACGCGAGTAAGTCGTTCCAGCTCAGAGACACTCAGCTCGCTTGGATTGCATCCTATCCCTCCTTTAGCTCCACCATATGGTATGTTAGCCACTGCTGTTTTCCATGTCATTAGTTGTGCTAATGCATTCACTTCATCTGGATTCACCTGCATCCATCATGATTTAATTAGGAACAGATCAGAATATATATCTATCTATCTTGATTTCATCTCAAGAACTGATCTGAAAATCTGATCAATCTACTACCTCCGGATGGTATCTGATTCCACCTTTCATGGGGCCTCTAGCATTATCATGTTGAACTCGAAACCCGACAAAGGACATCAAGGAGCCATCATCTTTAGGTACTGTACACTCAACCTGAAATTTTTGTTCAAACAAGTCAATGAAACAGAATACTATGAAAGCAGGAATTTAACCTCTTTTTTTTTTTTTTTTTTTTTTTTTTTTTTTTTTTTAAAGTGAGCATGCAGGAATTTAACCTTGACTTCGCGAAACGGCATGAGCAAACTCCTCTCGAGTTTTGAATCCAAGCCCAGGAGCCGAGCTGCCAGCCTAAAGTTTCTGTTGGTAGCAGCTAAAGCATTCATGGTTATTATTCGCAGCAGAAAACTTGAACAAAGATTAAAACAGTAACGGAGATATCAGAAAACAATGTAGTAGTCAATCCTATCTCTCTCGTAATTCTTGGAGCCGATATACAAGTAATTGTGTGTATTTATAGCGTTGGAACGTAACTTGGAATTGTAGGAGCATTCCTAATTTCCTTTTTTCTTCACGACCAAGTTTCCTAATTAGTTTAGGAAAGAATTTCCTAATTGGGAAAGTGTTGAGTTTGTCTCATATTCCAAATCCATATATGAGACAAACTCAACAATCTCCACATTGGCGAACATGTTCTTTAGGAGAAAAAGACTTGTCTCACCATGTCCACCTTCATGTATATGTCTTTTCGGAGAAAAGACTATCTCCACCTTGGCGAATATGCTCTTTAGGAGAAAAAGATAACTCAACATCCTATATGGCTTTGTTAGAGTGTATTTGTTAATTTAGTACTAATGTGTATTTATGTTATCTTCTAATTAGAGCCCATTCTTCCGTGAGAATGTGTGAATTTGTACATTGATAGTGTATGTACGGTGGTCCGTATGATAGTTGATACTGTGTGATTGTGTAAGGCTCGAGCATGGGAACTAACGACAGTGGGTCGAGAAGCTCCGGTCAAGTCAAGAGTCAAAAGGTCTTTTTCACCGTTATAAATGTGATATTTATAGAAGGTGAGAGGACATGATCTGAGTTCCCGGCATGGTGGTCGCGTGGCTGGCATGCACTCGAGGGTACCCTACCCGAGGGGTGCCCTACACGTAGCGTAAGTCTTCTGCCACTATCCTTGGTGACACATTCTCGACCGGGAGATCGGAAACACATTCTCGACCACCGACGCAGTTGGAACCGGTCGGTTAAGAAACGGTGCTACGTACCGTAAGGGAACCGATAATACTAAGACAACATAATGTTTTCAAAACGGATGCATTTCACCAATAATGTCTCAATTTTAATCACCTTATGAAATTGCCTTAATTTGAACATTAAAAAAATAAAAAAAAAAAACTTAAAACTTTGATTTACTGAAAAATTAACAATCACTACTCGAAGATTTACTCGGGATGAAGCTCACCTCAATAAAACGTAACAAAGCTTAAACTAAGAGCGATGAGGTCAAAAAGGATAGACGAATAAGTGGTAAAACATTATTATCATATAAAAATAACATAACGTTTAACTTTTACTAATATTTTTTAGGAGTGGGGTAACAAGGTAATTAATTAATAAAATAAAAAAGTACTAAAATAATAATTACTGTGGGACAGTGGGTCATGGGTTGAAGTATATTCTACATAAATATATTTACGTAGCGCCGTAGCCGGCAGTCATTTTGAACCGTTGAATACAATCTAAGGGTTATAAGAGCGTACATCCACGGTACTATTATACACCGTCTTACAGAATGGCGTTTATAGCCGCTCAATAATGAGTGCTTAAAATTTGAGAATTTCAAAACGGCACATCTCTGCCGACGTCGCAACGGTTCACCACGGAAACGGTGGCGCTGCTCATCCTTGTCGATCTATGCCGGTGACACTCTGCCTAACCTCGCTTCACCTGTACTATTGACTACCGTCATTTGCGATTTTTCAGCGCCTTTCTCTCTTCATTCAGTTCATTTTGAAGTTAGCGGCGGAAGGTAGAAACGCATTTTGTCAATTCATTTTGCAGTTCCTGTTATTCGATATTGTCGTTTTACAAGTTTTTACGAATCTAGCCATTGCTTTTTATAAGATTTGGTGAGATATCACTGTGTTTTTTTCTTGTTTTTTTTTTTTTTTTTTTTTTTTTTTTTTTTTTTTGGTTCTGAAATTAGAGATGCTACTGTTTATTGCTTAGATGATGTTCTTAATTGTTTTTACTCGGTTTTTAAAACATTGTTCTGTGATTGTGTTAATGATCTGTTTGTTAGATGATCAAGACGAATAGTTTGTATGTGTGTGTGGATTAATGTTATGACAGGAATTTGAGATGAATATGAAGCTGATGAATAGTAAGTGGAGGTTGGTGGGAGTTATAAGGAATTATTAAGAGAAAAGGAAGAAAGACATTATCACTTTATATGTATGATTGATCATTTTCATTTCAACCATCTGAATTTTTGAAACATTTTGTTTTGCTTTTTGAGTTTTTGATATCAATTGAGGATCAGGTTTCCTTTATATAAATGTTGTGATACAAGGAACAGCCTGTTTTGAAAGTGGAAATGATTAAATGCTTTAACTGGCTTTTACATCTTTATTCTTTATATTGTTTCAGGAATTCAACATGATTGGTTCTTTTCTCACCAGAGGACTTGTGTAAGTACCATTGTAAGCATAACCTAAGCTACTTTTAAAGGTTGCAGAAATTTAACATTCTTCGCTTCTGTTTATATTTATGCAGTTTGTTTTTTGGTTATGCTTATCCTGCTTATGAGTGCTTTAAAACTGTGGAACTGAATAAGCCGGATATTCCACAACTTCGCTTTTGGTGCCAGTACTGGTAATACTACTGTATTCTGTTTATTCAAACCTCTAAATATCCCTTGATGCAAGTATAAGAAGTCAGCACTAACCTCTCTCTCCAAATGTTTAGGATCATAGTTGCCACAATGGCAGTTTCTGAGAGGATTGGTGATGCCTTTATTTCTTGGTAAGAATGGTTGGCTTTCATATCAATGTACTTTATTTGGTATTTACCATTCTGATAACATTCGTTTTCAATGTTTTTGAATGTTTTGTCTTCTGAAGGATTCCAATGTACAGTGAAGCAAAGTTGGCATTCTACATATACTTGTGGTTCCCAAAGACTAAGGTTAAAATGCCCTCAATTTGTGATATAATTTGTGGTGTCCTTATTTTCCTTTGTCTTGTTCTGATGATTTCTTTGTTCCTTTTGTGTATCATATAGGGAACAACGTACGTATATGATTCTTTCTTCAGACCAGTGGTTTTGAAGCATGAGCCAGAGATTGATCGTAACTTGTTGGAGTTGAGGACTGCAGCTGGAGATATTGCACTTATGTACTGGAGAAAAGCTGCTAGCTATAGTCAGACCAGAATTTTTGACATCTTCCAGTTTATTGTTTCACAATCAACTTCATCCAAATCATCTCCCTCTGCTCCTCCGGTATGCACTTCTACTTACCTGACTAATAATATTCAGAACCAATACGGTTTTTCTTACAAATTCCATGAATGAATTTTACATGGTAAAATTGTGTTGTTTTAGCAGCCACAAATGCAAGGCTCTAGAGTTCACAAACCTACTGCCCCACCAAAACAGGGATCAACGTCAGCTGTAACAATAAAGCCGCCACAGAATGAAGAGCAGCAGTCTTCTTCTGCTTTGAATGAGCCTTCAAGTGAGCATGAAAAAGATGCAGAAGGAGAGGTGGCACCCTCGCAAGCAAGCCCAACAGCTCCACCTGCTCCCTCCTCCAGTGCTCAGAAACCAACACCAACACCAAACGATGTCCTAACTGAGACCACGAAAGCTTCAAGCTCGGGTGAACTTGTAGTGCGGCCTTCTGCAAGTCCAAGTGCAAAGCTTCCTGTAGAGAAAGTTAATGAGGGAACTTTGAGACTCACACGTGCAAGGTTGAAGAAAATTCGTACTGCTGCTTCAGGCCATTGACTATTGCGGGATCGTTTTCTTTTAAATGCTTCTTTCATTCGTTATTCCAAGTGGTCCATGGTATTCTCTGTAATTGAAGTATATAAAGCAATAAAAGTATGCAAACTACTATGGTGACATTGTCCAAAGTATATATTATTATATTTAAGCATTTATCCAGGAAATTAAACAGACATCTCGCTCGTATATATGTGCCGTCACTCTAATTAAGCCACTGTTTGATAAAATTGACATTTGATCAAAACCAAACCACATTATTAAGTATGAAAACTGTATATATATAAGCTCTGATCTCATGCATGCATGCCGTACTTGTATAGTATATAAAACTCTCTAAGTAGTCTTCTTCCTGAAGAAAATCCCTAAAAGTGGGATCAACGGCTTCTTCTTCTTCTTCTTGAGGGAAGGGTGCCGCTCCAGCACGACGTCATCGCTCGACGGCGGCGCCATGACATGGCAAGAATAAGCCGGCGGGTTCGCGAAAGTCACGTATCTCTTCTTCTGGAACTCCACGTTTTCATGTTTCACTTCGGTGTCCTCGATGAACTTAAGGTCTTCAATCTCGGAATATTCCTCGCCCTGTTTTCCGGAATGTTCTTTCAGTTGCTGGAGCGCCGACATGGTTCGCCGGAGCTCTTCCTGTAAAGATGAGAGGCACGTCGCCATTACCAGGCTTTCCTCTTGTGCCTTTTGCAGGCTTTGTTTTGTCTCCTCTAGCTCCGCCGTCACGCTGCTCAGCTTTGATGGAACGCCGTCGTTTTCACTCGACGACCCGTCTTGCATCTGTTCCATCAGAAACAATAACGTAACCCTACTAAAGAGTTCTTAACGATTAATTCCATCAATTACTCGTCATCAGAACTCAAAAGTGAAAGCAATCATGAAAGAGAGATACGAGGAAATGCATGAACGGTACCTCTTGATGCTTGTTGGAATAGACTTCACCGGCGAGAACTGTCTCGCCGAACAGCAACACCGCCTCCTTCACCGACCGGAACGGGGCGCTTGTATCGATCTCCGCCTTCCTCATCATCCTCAATCCACCGCCTTCCATATACCTGGTAAGTCGTCGATCGTCTACCGCAACTATCTATACAGAAATGATTTGAATTAGTATTTGTCGATCGCCGTAACTTATACTGTGATAGAGCGGACGGTAGTGGGAATGGGTTTTCTGGGGAAGCTAACAGAAAGAGAGAAAGGAGGGGACTATTCGTTTCTTCGCGTCCACTTCACTAGTATTCTGTTACCTATGCATGTTATGTACATTCTTTTTTCTTTTTTTTAATACAAATTTTGTTGTTCCAATTTTTTTTTTTTTTTATATAAATTTTATGAAGGTGAGTCGTTAAGTGAAATTATTAAGGAGTTTAAAAAATTCACCATAAAGTATAACTCTTATTTGTATTGACACTTAATTAAAAGAGCTCATTATATTGGGTGTAAGCATATAATTTGCGCATTGTAACAACTATCACATTTTAATTTATGTGCTTACTCACCATCTATCACTTAGTATCAATTAAGCGAGTATAACTCTTATATTACGCTCACTCAAGTATTGTGGGCCTTATTGTTACTGTCAAGTCTCAACAATTGAGCTTTTTTTCTCCACTTTTTTTTTTGGGGTGTCAACATCCGCCTTAGTGTCTACGTCCCTCTCAGGGTATCAGCCAGGAATCACCTCATCAAGTTTTTTGCTTGAAAAAATCAATCAGAAATTTCTTGTTGGGTTGTTTTAACTGAATTGTCTGTGCGTCATTTTATAGGCATTACTATTTTTAGTTTGGGAATTGGTAGGTCCCACTTCAGTTAGGCTGATCATGGTGACATTTTACCGGCGGGCCAACCAATTTGGATTATTTCCGGTGATGGTAAATTTGGATTAAGGAGTGTTGTAATCCGCGCAGTTCATAAGAATCTCAGACCTCACTGAATACAAACAAAACATATTTTATATAATGGGTTCTAATACATGCACTCCCAAATTTTACTCTATCAAATTTACTTCCTGTAGTGGACTCTGATATACATATAATATTTTCCTTATATAATAGAAACGGATAACGCCAAACAAAAACAAAACGGAGATGCTGCGATAGCGTCGATTTCTCCGTCCCAAATTTTACACTCCCCGTTTCATGAAAAAAAGAAAAACACAAATTTTTATGTAAATTACCGGCAGTTGGGTAGGTAGGTAGCTAGTTGGCTACATTGTTCCACCATGGATATCATTTATTTTTCCTTTTTTTTTGGTTATTAATTTTTCTTGATTTTTTAAAAAAGAAAGAAAGAAAAACCATGAAATCTAACTGTTCAAGCTTTCTGTCACGGAATAAAGTTATATAGAAAGTTGGTGGGCAAGATTTAGCGTTATTATTAACTGTTTTTAATAGTCTTCTTTTTTGTGTGAGTCACAAAGTTTATTGATCTTATTACAGACCAACGCGAAAATGTCGGCCTGCGCCGCCGCCAGCATCGTCGGATCTTTTCATGTCCGGCGGCAGCTACCCAAGATGAGATCACGGCCGCGGGTGGTGATGACCGTCCGATCTGGTGTAAGCGTTGGAGTAGCTCCGATCTTGACTAAGCTGGAAAAGGACTGTGCCACTCCTCTCCCGGTCTTGCGCCACGTGGCAGATGCCATGGCTGCTGATGTGCGGGCTGGGCTCGCCGTCGATGGCGGCAGCGATCTGAAAATGATTCTCAGCTATGTTGATACTCTACCAACTGGGTAAATGCTTCTAATCACTGCTTTTACAGTGTGTTTGTTTGGGGTTTTCACTTAGTAATAATGTACTTGTTTAAGACAATCATTTCATATGTTTTTATGATGTTCAAGGTGAAAAAGATGTCCTTTTTAATCCTTCTATTACTTAGGTGACTAGGTTTATAACAGATATATTTGCTAATGATGTCTACATCCAATTAATCATGGGATTTTTCATATTCCATAAGACGAAATTCCCTCGCCCTCGGTCCCACACACCCTTGCCTACATTATACTATAGAGATAGTGGCAGCCATTAGGTGGGAGGATCAGTGCCTAGTGATCACAAGGAGCCCACCACATTGGGTGTAACTTCCACACTGCGGCTGCTAGGACTCGATCCTATGTCCTTGCTCATAATCTACTACCCAAGACTACCCCTACGGGCTAATTATGTGTATCCCTTAATGTGGGAGATGATTAGGATGCCCTTGATTTACTCATGTGAATTGATCACATGTCATCTTGTGTATATATGTACATGAATGATGATGATGGTGATGAAGAATTCCAGCAAACTATCTCTTCAATAAGTCCTTATATTGGCTGCATTTGACTTCTTGAAATTCATTGATAGGATTTGAGTTTTGTATTTTCTAAGGAATGAGAAGGGGTTGTTTTATGCGTTGGACCTCGGTGGTACTAATTTCCGCGTGCTAAGAGTACAATTGGGAGGGAAGGAAGAGCGTGTAGTTGCCACTGAATTTGAGCAAGTGTCTATACCACAAGAATTGATGTTTGGCACATCCGAGGTTTGTTGTTCAATGTTTTGTTTGTTTTATCTAGTTTTCCTCTCTTGTTTACTTAACACGTGTATTGCTTGATTGAATGTGTGTTTATTCCAGGAACTTTTTGATTTCATTGCTTCTGCACTGGCAAAGTTTGCGCAAAAGGAGGGTGAAAATTTTCATTTGCCGCCTGGAAGGACAAGAGAAATAGGATTCACTTTCTCTTTCCCAGTGAAGCAGACTTCTATAAAATCTGGCATTCTAATCAAATGGACAAAGGGTTTTGCTGTCTCTGGAACTGTTAGTATCTCTTGATTCTCTCTACTCTTGTTGACACCCTTATTCAAATCACCTTGGTTTTCCTATCCAGGTTAATAAATGTATTTGTCTAATGGTGAAGTTCAGATAACTATGGTAAAGTGATTTAACCATAGGATTAGTTATCCTAGTAAAACACCACATTTGTTGGTCAGTGTTTTTGAGATTTTACCAGCAAAACTTTCTGCCATTGCTAAATAAGGACAAACAATTGCCCGTAAAGTATACTAAGGAGAAGAATATTCTTTGGGTTTGTCTGGTTTGATTGAAGCAAGTAATTGAACCATCTACTTGGCTTTCTTGATTATTAGGAAATGCAACTATAGTTGTATATTGAATGGTTTATAATTTCAGTCACTCTGAGTGATGTCAGCAAAACGATAATTTGTTATCCACGAGGTTGTTGTCTGACATTGGGCATGACATGGAACAGGCGGGGAAAGATGTGGTTGCTTGTTTGAACGAAGCCATGGAGAGGCTAGGATTAGATATGCAAGTCTCTGCCCTGGTATGTTCTGTAGAAGCTTCATACACCTCAAAAGAGGGCTAAATTCATACTCCCTCTATCCTAAAAAGGTTGTTCCTTTATGTCCTAAAACGTTGTTGAATTAGGTCAATGACACTGTGGGAACACTGGCTGGAGCTCGATATTGGGATGATGATGTCATGGTTGCCGTCATTCTTGGAACGGGAACCAATGCTTGCTATGTGGAGCGCACGGATGCTATTCCAAAACTGCCGGATCAGGCTTCAACATCTGGACTAATGGTTGATAGAGTCTTGAAGTGGTTAAAATTAACAATACTCCTTGGAGTAGATTGCGTTTAACCGATTCAATCTCAGACTTCTGTTTTTTAAAAACGTAAAATGGTTTTTCTTTTCAGATTGTAAATACTGAGTGGGGAGCATTCTCAAATGGCCTTCCCTTGACAGAATTTGACAGAGAAATGGATGCTGACAGCATAAATCCTGGTGAGCAGGCAAGTTTTACTATTTCGAACAAAAATAACCACGTCGTATATGCCTATAGTTATCCGGTTGAGACTTGAGAGACTTCCAATTTTGCATTTTGTATGGAACAGATATTTGAGAAGACAATCTCGGGGATGTACCTTGGAGAAATTGTGCGACGAGTCCTCCTCAAAATGACAAAAAGTGGCTTGTTTGGAAACTCGATTCCAGAAAAATTACTCACACCATTTGTTCTCAGGTAATATTGCTGTCCATTTGACTATTTTGGAATTATGTCGGGATTCCATTTATCATCCTCACTGACATTAATCTATATCAAACAGAACACCAGACATATCTGCAATGCAACAAGACACTTCCCGAGATCTTGAAGGTGTTGGATCAATCCTCTACGAAATAGCTGGGGTATAGTATACATAACTCAAGCCAACTTGCATTATTCTTTCATATTCCATTTTCACTTCAATCAAAGCTTTAGAGCCTTTTGACTTGAAATCAGGTAAACTCTGATCCAAGTACGAGGAAGATAGTAGTAGACGTCTGTGATTCAATTGCAAAACGCGGTGGGCGCCTGGCAGGAGCAGGAATTGTCGGGATTCTTCAGAAGATGGAAGAGGATTCAAAGGGGCGTATCTTCGGGAAGAGAACAGTAGTAGCGATGGATGGAGGGTTGTATGAGCATTATCCCCAGTACAGAAGCTACCTCCAAGAAGCTGTCACCGAGCTGCTGGGCAAAGAAATCTCGAAAAATATAGTGATTGAACATTCCAAAGATGGATCTGGGATAGGTGCTGCTCTCTTGGCTGCTGCAAACTCAAAGTATGAACACCATTTATAGATTCCATTCATCTTTCCTCATTTTTTTTTTTTGCCCAAAATGCTGGCTTCTCTGTCAAGAACTGTGGGTGTATTTGTGTGTTTGTGGAAAGTTTAGTTTTTTATTGTTTAGATTAAGGTACAAGATTTATGTAGCATAGATTTACCAAGGTTAGGCAGACATTTTTGGGCACTCTGCCATTTTTTATTCTGATTATTGCAACATTGGAGTGGAGCAAACAATGTATCGAGTATCGACAATACTCATATTGTATGCATTATCGAGTTCCATTGTTCCTAATTCAGTATTCTTGTTTCTTCTTTCTATTTTATCACCAAAATGAATGAAAAAAAAAAAAAAAAAAAAATCCTTCTTTCCTTGAACTATCTTCTTCTATGAAATGACATTGTAGGAAGAGTTCTAGTACATCTTATTCCTTCACATTTACTCCTGGCCTGATAAACTATTTTTTCGTGTGGGTCCATCTAAATGTGTTTACATCAAAATTTTAAGTGTAAGTAAAAGTTAAGAATAGAGAATAATTATAAAGTTACAAATTTTACTCCTAATAGAAAGTCAATAGTAATCACAAAGTAACAAATTCGAACGGATAGCCACAAAGTAACAAGTTTGTAGTAATATGGTTTCTTTCTATCATTAAAAAAATGTAATTTATTTTTTTTTTAAATAGAGAGAAATACTACAAAATAAAATACTGTTCCCGGACGGCGGGTGGAAAACAGAAAAGCTTCTCATTTTCTCTGAACGCCGGACTGAATCAACCCATTCTCGTCTCTTGGGTCCACTGGTTCTATCAAAATGGTAAATTCAAGCATTGCCATTTGGGTTGTCTCGATTCATTTTTCTGGCAAATTGGTTGATGGTTTTGTTTGGGCTTGAAATGGGCAGATTCGATTCATTCTGCTTCAAAACCGGCAAGGAAAGACTCGTTTGGCCAAGTATTACACCCCCCTCGAGGAATCCGAGAAGCACAAAGTCGAATATGAGGTGTTCTTGCTATGATTTCCCCATACATTTGTGTCATTAACTCTGAGTTTTAACATTTGGTTCTGGGTTCTGCAGGTTCATCGGTTGGTCGTGAATAGAGACCCCAAATTCACCAACTTTGTGGAGGTGAGACTGTTAAAACTTTTTTTTTTTTTTTTTTTTCACAGATCATTCTATTGCTTCATGTAAAACTTCATGCAATGATAATCTCTGTGCTGTGTGTTCTATTCCCTTCAAAGTTTAATACTTTATGCTAAATTCAAGCTTTAGCTCACATGCGGCATGCCCATATGAGGATAAGAGGCCATTGATTCCTTAATCTGTACTGCCAAAGATGCAATGATTGAATACTGACTCTGATGTTGATTGTGGTGAAGAGTAGAATGAGAAGGGATAAAACATACTGTTAATCCCCGAGGGCGTCGTTTTGAAGACACTTTTACATATTATGAGAGTGAATTCTTTGGTCTTGCGGGATTGTAATGGCTTGTAGTTGATGTTTTCCTTGTCAGTTCCGAACCCACAAGATAATCTACCGGCGGTATGCTGGGCTATTTTTCTCGCTCTGTGTTGATATGACGGACAACGAGTTGGCTTATTTGGAGTGCATCCACTTGTTTGTGGAGATACTGGATCATTTTTTTAGTAATGTCTGCGAGTTAGATTTGGTTTTTAACTTTAACAAGGTATGTTTGTCAGTCTTTCTCATCGTGAATCTCTCTCTTGTGTGTAATTTATACTTGTGATTGATTGTTTTCCTATGAAGGTATATCTAATCGTAGATGAATTCATTCTCGCTGGGGAGCTCCAAGAAACAAGTAAGAAGGTGAGAGTAATCGCGAGAAGAAGGATTGATTCATTTCTCGCGCCTTATCCTTGTTCTAGTGAAGTGTACTTTGTATAGTTTTTGCTGAAAAATGGATGTTTGATGCGTATTTTCTTCTGAAACTGCAGGCTATCATAGAGAGGTTGAATGAATTGGAGAAGTTGGAGTAAAGATTGATGATCCATGATGGCCAACCTTCATCCATATTCCAAAGTATGCACCTTTTCATTTGCTCCCCTTTGATCTTTCTGAACATTTAGGATTGATTATGCCACCTACTTGTGTTTGAGACTTTGAATCTCTAGAATTTCTTTCGAGTTTAGGCCTAAAGTCATAGGATTGAAGAAGACATTATTGTGATTGCTGTCATTTCTTCTCCCTATTCATGATTGAGTTAGTTTGCTTCTGCCCTTTAGGTAGAGAGTGCTTTCATGTGAGAATGCATCTTTTTGTTTCGGTCCAATATCATATCTTGTCTCTTGTCAATCATTATCTTAAAATACATACTTATTGATGTTATTAGTATGATACGAAACATGATTTGGTTCATAATCTCCCAACCCCTACCTATCCTATGTTTAATCCCATTATTTGTGGGGTATTAGGATTAGGTGATGGGGCCATACAATTTCACATCTACTTTGTTAGCCAATCGACATTGAATTATAGGAGGATTATTAGTTTCAAACTTTTCCTCATCCTTCAAACCAGTTGATACAAAGAGTACTGATCTATACCTAACTTTTGAGATATGTTACATGATTTGGCCTTGTTTCATCTCATTATCTTATAATGGGATTTGATTAATTGACAGATTGTTAACAAATACTCCGTATAAAATATAATAGCTCGCAAAACACATGCACAAGAGAGGTGCGACAAGCTCAACCAAGAGGGAGTTGGCACGAATCAAACTTGTAATCCTTTGATACGAAAATTATGTTCCTATCTATTTAGTCTCTCATTTTTGGGCAAATTATAGGCATACTAAGGTATCCTAAATCTGAGCATGCATACATTTGATGTCCTTTAAATACAATATATATAAAATTGATGTCCTTTAAATTCGCAGAGTAACAGGCTAAGTATCGTTTTGATAGGTCTAAACATAATACGAGTAATTTTGTTCCATGTAAAGTGGGTGAAAGCAATTGCATTTTGCAAGCTGTAAAGCACCATAACTGTGGGGGCTACAAGGTAAAAGTAATTAAAAAAAAAAAAAAAAAAAAAAAAAAAAAAAAAAACCTGCACCCCTCGCCTCAAACCAAGCTCTAACCAATGGGTAAAGACCAATTATTTTAGATATGCAGCATGTTTAAAAGAGTATAATTTTGGAATTGAATCTAAATTAGTTAAAAGAGATATTAAATGTCAGACTTGTGGTGGAACAACATAACAATAGTGTCAAAAAATGATACTAAAATCATGATTCACATATTTAACCACCCTATTTGAAGTTTTTTTTTTTTTCAACGATGTAATTAAAATATTAATAAAAAAAAAAACTGAACAGTAGATGATAAACACACACTTTTATTTATTAAATTAATTTAATATTAATATCTTAAATGCATGGTTTTTTCACATTGAAAAATACACGTGCCTATATACATACCAACGAACACACTTTTATTTAATAATTAATTAATACAAATACATTATATATATATATATATAATAGTGTTTATTTTGTGGTCCAGATGAGATGAGATGATATTAACTTATAATTAATATCGATCGAGCTGATGGAGGTTGGTAAACACGAGCACAAATGAATTGAAACATGCAACCACACGTAAATTGAAATTGAAGTTGAAGGTGAAGTGGATGAATTATGGGCACTTGTGTCTGCCGCCGTGAGTGGTCATATTAGCGTAGCAGGGGCACACATCCTCGTTGCCGGAAGTTCCCGGCGGAACGCAGCCGCATCTGGCGCAGCAAGTCCCGCAGGCCCGCTTGCACAGCCGCGGCCGAGACGACAGCTTGCACCTTGCGTCACACGACGCCCCGCAATCTGCAGCACAGTATTATTGTTTTTTAAGCAAAATATATAAATACAAAGAATTAATTAAGAGATTTAGATATGAATGATTATGGATTACCTATCGTCTGGAGAAAAGAGCGGCCGCCGGCAGCTCCATGCACGGCCGTCGTGGTCTGATAAGCTTGAGCCACGTGTGCTGTGAGAAACAGAAGGAGAATTGAAGCAACGAAGGCCTTAGAGACGGCAGCCATGGACGACCAACGATGTTTTATATATGTCAAGGAAACTAGCTTAGATGAGGGATGAAGAGTACAAGGTGTATGTATGTGTATTTATAGATGCCAGAGGGCGGCCAATGATATAACATTAGAAAAAGAGTTAAGTTGGTAAGTATACATATTATTGATACAATTATAAGGTGTCAATTACTACGTAATGTAATGATACTTTTGTTACGTACTATCTTACATGGGTGGTCATATGTTCAAACTCCGGTGATGGATCCATTGATTTTTTTGATAAAAAAAGTTCGAGTAAGTATAGAACAAATACTGCCTTGTAAAGAATTATGAATGTTTCGATCAAAAAATACAACTATAAGTCAAAGAATTTAGATTAGTTTTAGGGTGAACATAGTAAGGATACGGATGCCAGACGATTAAGGAACATATAGAGAAAGCTATGAAATTGTGGTGGGAATTATTACGTAGAGTGTGGGTAGGGAAATGCATAATGAATGTTGCCATATATGCAGTGATCATCCAAGATGTTAGCCCAACTTGGTAACCTTTTTTGGAAGCATCTCGAGTTTCATGCACGCATTTTATTTTCTTTTCACACACTTATATGTCCAAACACGCCCGCTAAGAGTTTGCTTGTACCAAATATTAGGACAATTTTAATCAAGTTAATTAGTTCGATACTTAACTTAATAATTATAAGATTTCAAGTTTAATTTTTCGTTGAAATTGTATATTGATTTTCTTGATTTAAGTGAGTCAACTATGGACAATTTAAATTTATTTATATTCACCTTCTTGTAATCCTTTGTCGACTAGAGCAATTCAGTACACACTTTGGTGTTGCGGGTTTTTTTTGTAAATCAAAGCTACTATCAATTAATTCTTATGTTAATGATTCTTAATTGACTTGTGTTGCTTTCGGGCCAGCTAAGGTAGCTATAGATATATGTTCTTGGTCCACTTCAAGTCTTTATCATTAATCCTGCCACTCATTCACAAAATTATACCTTTTTGGTTGTAAAGCAAATTACAAAAGTCGCTCCCAATATGAATAATATATACTTTGAACATATTTGAGTATGTAGTTCTTTCCGAATTCCGACCAAAGTTTTGTTTTAGGTGAGATAATATAAGATTCAAAAAAGTTGTAGGGCTAGGGAGTTAAATGGTTTACGACTACTCCTAAATAATCAGGATTCAGGAGGCGGGTCTAGTATTTGGCTGAAAAACTTTTTTTTTTTTTCTTTTTACTGGTGAGGCCGGGTATTTGTGAGGTAGGTGATATGTTACTGTAGACTGGTCAACTTTGAAAACCTGTCTGTCTTGTCTGATGGATGGTTCTTTGAATACATATATGTTTTGTAGTATTGGTAAGGAAAATTCAATTGAAGCATATGCTCTATTTTTGAATCTACGACTTTTGACATGACTTTGATATCAAATTGAAGCATATGTTTCATCTCAACTAAAAATTTAAGTTAATAATTTGATTGTACATTTATATTTATATATATTATTACATGCTCAACAAATTTTACTCTTACTCTCAAATTCAATTTCAACTTTTATTTATTTTCACAGAATTTTGATGTTGACATTTTGACCCACAAGATAAAGATAATTAATCATTAATTGTTATATCAGATAGGAAAATTAAGGAAGTAGAAATATGAAGTATATGTAGTCGAACTTTACAGATAACAACATGACTGACAATTGGCGCCCAATCTTTTAATCTAATGATTTTTTATACTATAGTAATAACCATAACCCGTAAAATTGAATAAATATAATCCATGTTTTTCTGAAGGTCCTATGTAAATCACAAAAATAATAATAATAATAATAATAATCACAACATATACTGATATACAATTACGATATTTTTGATATGAGAATGATGGATCACTCCCTAAAAAGAAGTAAACATAGATATATTGACAAGTGCTGCTTCGATGATTATTAGGCGGCCTATACGCGTAATAGGATTCCATCTTCCACTATCATCATTCATAAAAAGTGGATGCCAATAATAAGCTCCTGCATTTCTTTTCTTTTATTTTTTTTAAAAATAATTTTCAGTAATTATAACTCAATTTGATATTTTGATTATTGATCAAATTAAAAATATTCATAAGCAAAACTAAAAATATTACATAACAAGCATCTAGAAATAATAATAAGATCTTCTATTGACAAGTAGGTGAAATATAATCATCATATTTAAAGGTCACAAATTTAATTTTCGTCAACATTTTCTTAGTCGAGCCAGTCACATAAAATCTTTCTAGTATGATTCATCTTTCATATTTAATTTGTGGACTATTATATAAAATTCAGGTGCACATACTAAAAAAATATCGTATTGGATAAATGTCGGATGGATTAGGGGCGGAGTACGTGGCAGACTGGCAGCATTATATTACCTGTAAGCTAAGCATTCACTAAACTAAACAGCTGTAATGGAATATGACTTTATTTGGAGTTTAAGAAAGAAGACGAGCTCAGAGGTGGATGGATATATATCTTTGACGACTTATATTATATTCCACAAATATTATTATTCCCCAGTCGATCCCACCCCGCCTAGTGAATCTACTTCAACGTAATTATACTTATACCCGTGTGGTTTAAATTTCTTTTAACTAATCAGCGGTCTTGCCTTCGAGTCCGAAAAATATAATTAATCTTAAGAGTATAATATATTCGCGTGCATATCTTGTACGTTATCATTAGCAGTAGATGGATAATAATGGATAGTGAGGCTTCCGCGTGCAGACAGTGTTTTTCGTGCAATTGTGCGATAACGTATATTAAGTAGGTATAAATGTATCATAAAATGTCTGAAAATGCACCATTATATGTGTAATATTTTTTTATGTGTTGTGTATTTTGTAATGCATTTTCAAATATTGTGTGGTGTATTTATGCATACCTAATGATGCAAGTCATATCTTCGTTTGAACCAGTATTATAATGGGATATATATTAGTTAGCATAATTTCATTTTAACTTGTAATTGAGGTAGGGAACAACTCAGATTGAATTGATGCATTTGTCTTCGTCTTTTATTTGATAACTTGTTATGGACGTCGCAATTGTCCTATCGGCTAGCTAGCCGCTGGCAAACAACTTGATTCCATTAAGGCATTAATAACGTTTGGACGGGTTATAAGCCGTTAGCCATCAAATCTTCAAGTCACACTCGTACCAAAGAGGGGGGAAAAAAAATGCAAAACACGTATCATATATACTTTGATTCATTAAAAAAAAAAAAAAACTATTACTTGAAGATGTGTTCAAGATGAAACTTACCACGTGACCTTAATCGATAAAGAAATATAAAGAGATAAATCATTTTGTCTATTATAACTTACAACTTAAATCAAGAAAGCCAATATGCAGCTCCCACTGGGAGTTGAATTGAAGCTAGTGTAGGGTGTTGGTTATTATACTTAACCATATATGCATTTACATCAAACATGCATCCCAGGAATATAATGCAATCACAATACAGATACATACACAAGCATCAAACATCCTTGTATCCTACCTAGACTATCTGATCTGTTACTTGTGCAATAGAAAAAAATACCTAGTATGTATAGTTGACCATAGTTTTAAGGTTACACTACTCCTGATGGAAGGTGCAGCACGAGGTTGCCACCAAGAACACTGCAACCAAAAGATACAAATTAAATTAAAATCAAATAACATAACTCTCTTGAGTCATGATGAAAGACAGGATTTTCGATATGATAATGAGGCTATTAATATAGTGAGAGATTAGGAGTACATATACCTTTGAACGTAGTAGTAGCAGAAATCTGCGAGGATAAACGTTTGGACAGCTTCTGATAGAAGGACCATAGATGGCCACAGTCCATAACCCAAAGCGGTAAGCAAGCGCCCCCGAGTGTCAATCATCTGCAAATTAAAGAATTCAAAACCAGAAAGGTATTAATATTATGGCCTTCCTGATATAGCAATATAATTAAGAAGAAGCCAAGTAGTTTAGTGTACAAGTTTTTTGCAAAACCAAACCTGGAGAATCCAACGTGCACAGGTTAGGAACCTTGAAATTCCCAGAGCGAAAACGTAATGAGCGGTGAATGGCTCAATGATCTAACACGAGAACACGAAAGCATATTGGAAGAAACTTAGCTTAAAGTAAGGAGAATTAGCATATACATATATATATATGTTGTTAGTTTTAATACCTTTATGTTCTGCATGACATGCAACTGAGGAAGCACTGAAACAGCTTCTGAATAAATGCAAAATGCCCAACAGATGCGATTGAATACGTGATGGCGTGTTGATGGATGAATTAGTAGAGATAATACAGCACAGGGAATCACCTATGCCAAATAAAAAGAGGTGAGCTAGATCGATTATGAAAGACACAATGTTAATAATTTACAGGCTCACCACATAATACAGGGGAAAGTTATCTTTGTCACCCATGTAACTGGATTTTAACTGAAACCGGATCATGTAAATGACCCAGATAGTAGTTGCCAATGTAGCTAAGTCAAGCAGTGTGTGCACATCAAATTCCATCACAACACTGCAGTAAAGTCTAACAGCCAAAAATATAGCTGTTAGTTCTTGTGATTTCAATGAAATTCCTGAAAACATTTTCAAATACAACCATCAGCATCATATCGTGGCCAATAAAAACATGTTTGCAGGACAATCTACAGGAATAGGAGGAAAAAACATGTTTTTAAGCTTAACTGTACACAATAAAAAATATAAATATAAATTTAAGGTTTCAGAGACAATCTGTATCAGAAACAGAGAGACATTCAGTATGTACAAGGAATTGGTGGCCGGGGAGCCCATATATTATATTATATATTATATATAAAGAATGTGAATGTACCAGCGCAAGTCCTCTCTTTGGTGAGCTTATAAATGAGGACAGAAATTCCTAGGGCGTGGACAGCCTCGGCTGCCACAAAGAGGTTGTCGCGATTTTCAACGAGGTGGCGGATGACAACAATGGCGGACAAGGAGGCTATCGCCGCAAGAAAGCCCTTCACCTTCGCCGGTTGCGCCTTCACCCATATTCTCACGCCGTTGATCGCCCTCTTCGCTGCCTTCATTGTCTTCTTCTTCTTCTTCCGCTACTCTGTGCAAACAGATATCCTCAAATTTTTCTGAACGTAACGTTGACGACACGGACATTGTATTTGACGAAAACAATGCAGGATATTTGGTCGGTTTTTTTTACTTTTGTGCTAAATTCGAGGTGGAAATACTTTTGGATAATAGAATCGTTAACTTGTCCACAAAAGACAAAAATTTTCAACTTCAAAACCCAAACTTTCACTGGATAGGATAAACGAAACCGTTAACGTGGACAGTATAGAGTAATTTAAGGACAATGACTAAGATGAGATCCTTTAGAATGGTACGCTACCGGTGATTTGACATACATACATATATACGTAAAATAGTCATAATTGTCACGAAAATTTAGATTATGAACTCTTGTCTCAATGAGCAACATACACCATTGTTCGATAGCCGTGGTTGTTTTAAAAAAAGACAATAAAATGTACATTAAGGATGTGTAGTGTGTCTGTAGATAAAGTATAGGTATATGTGTGACAAAGTAAACATCAAAACATCCATGAAGAAGATCTTTTCATCTGAGGCAGCATCTGCTTGTCTTCCTCAAGAGCAATCATACCTATGTGAGATGGATCTTCAAGCATCATCCTTGCCACCAAGTAACCTGCAATCGACCACGTCTGGCACTTCCGGGCCTGTTTCCCGATGTAGCGCCCATGTTTCCCGTCGTAATATTCAGGCCAGTTGTCCTTCAAAAGGCGAGCTTCGGCCAGCTCAATGGCCTTTCTCGCGATTTGGGGTCGTCCCGTCTTGATGCAGGCTGCTGTGAGAAGCCATAGCAGGACTGCAGGCGACAGTTAAGCTGTTACAATATCTGTTCATAACTACTTTCTAAGCCTACTGAAGCACAAAGAGTCAATACTGCATCCACTGAAGCTCGAACCCACAACCTCCCATATAGGAGAGCAACTTGGTGCCACTAGACCACAAGAATTAAAAGACATCTAGTAAAAAAAGAAAATTTACCTGGCCAAGATCCACCATTGTGGTAACTCCAGCTGGTGTTCTTTGGATCACATCCCGTGACAATTCTCCACTCGTGACCTTCCATGGCTGGATAACAGATCTTTAGAGGCATTTCCCCGACTAGCTCTTCCCATCGGGATTCAATGAGATCCATTATGGCCGAGGCTTGCTCGGGTGTAGCCAAACACGACAAGATTGCGATGCAGTTGCCCAAGCAAAACCAACGGAAGTCCATTCTAGCTGGACTTACGTTCCCAATGAAGTATCCCCCTCGAGTTGGCATGAAATCAAACACCCAATCTGGAAGAGAGTCTGGCATCACGTTAAACTTGTTTACTGCTGTGTGCGAGTACTCCTCCGTCTTAAAACGATATATATCATTCAGCTGCTTAATGTCCAGCCAAAAGTAATTTCTCATGTGATAGCTTAAAGCATGAAGTCTCTTAACTATTTGATCAGTACAATCCCTACTTTCTTCGTCGTGCTTAAGCAAATGCAGGGCACATCTTAATGCCATAAAGAAAAGGGCTTGTATTTCAATAGGGTATCCATAAACTCCCTGAAAATAGAAATAACATTTAGGACCTAAATGCGATCGAGCCTAATTAACTCATTGAGAAGAAATCAAAATTAGAGAGTTTGATAAGCTAACCATCCTGCGATCAATCATAGAGCAGCCATCAGCACACAGAAGGGTCGGGAAGGTATCGAATCCCTCAGAAAGACATAAGGTCAGGATAAGTCTTATACCCCTTTGGCATTCGGGCATTTCGGCCAAGGAAGTGTCCCCTGTAGACTTTGTATACGCACGAAGTAATATAATCCACCAGAAGCCCGAATCGACGGGAGCAACTCTACCAATAGCACTCTCACCAAAATCCGCAATTATAGTCTCAAAGTTCCTAACGGGGTCATGGAGTACTTTAAAACTAGCCGGCAGAACTCCTTCCCCCAACTTGAACTTATCTACCTTCTTCTCCCAAGATTGGAGGCGAAGCGTTTTCAAAAGAAAATTTTTTACGATTTCAGGTTCACCGTTCATCAAGAAAGCTAGGGCACTAGGGATAAAATCCCTCAGAAATACCTGCCAAAAATGACAAGTAAACAATTGTACCATCAATAATCGTGTTAATAACAATAAAGGACAGTATTAGAAGCTTCTAGACAAAATGATATCTTAGCAAAATTATGCCGAGCAAGAAGCTAGACTGTATAATGTTCACCTGATCATAGTTTAGCTCTTCTGTAGAATGATCGAGAGCTGCTATAGTCCCGACTGGTTGGCCTCGAAAGGAAACAATAGAGCGCCGCAAGGCTTCCCACGCCTCAGCTATTAAGGGATGCGGCTCGAAAGTATAAATTGATCTAGGAGTACTAATGGAAGACCTTCTTCCTGGAGAGTACATACCATCATAATGGTCAAAAACACGAGACGAGTTCTCGGGATTTCTGTATATTTGCCGCGGTGGAGAGTGACTTATGGACAGTTCACTGAAGGATCTTTCGTCAAATGATCTCTTCCTTTCTATGTTCAAAGGCCTCGGCTTTTCCAGTAATCTAGCCAAATCAGAATCTCCAATTTCAAATAACGAGCCAGATTCATGATGTTTCGCAGTTCCATTTTGAGGTGAATCCGAAGGGGCAGGTGACATTGTGGGATACTTTCTGAAACCTCTAACCAAAAAGAATTGATGATGAACCTTAAAATCTGCATTCGGAAAAAACCAACAACAAAAATCTCATGATTATAAGCATACCAACCTCGCGGCTAAAAGCTCAAAAATCAAAGCAGATCAGAAGTATTTTGCATTTTTTGCTGATTAATTATGTCATTCCATGTTTCTCAACGCATAAATCTCTCAGCAAAGCAATAATGAATAATCACATAGCAGGTAAAAGCATAAAGTTTGATGAAAGGCAACAAAACATCAAGATTCCATCAAGAACTTGAGTCAGAAAACATCCTTGAAATCTCAGAAACAAATCCATAACTGCAGAATTCAAGTGATGGGTTTGACCATCCATTACCAGCTGATTCAACACTCGATGAAAACAAAAACTAATATCTCACAGGTAAGGGTTGCAATCACCGACTTTTAATACATTCAAAGTTCAAACAGCCATAAATTTCACAGTATTCACAAAAGGCAACCATAGTTAAATCTGTGAACTAAAGCATCATTAATCATACTTTGGAATCAAGCATCAAGAACAACTCCCATACTTTGGTGAGATCAATCATGGCTCTTCTAAGCTCATCCCATTACATTTTAGAGAGAAGTCGATCAGATGATTAAACTAATCAAAATCACCAGACAGATCAAAACAATAGTAAAACAATCAATTTGAATCATATAGCATGACAGTAACAGTGATGATCTTCAAATACAAATAGAAATAAATAAATAAATAATCAGGGAAATATATACCTCGTAATTAACGAAGATGAGCCTTCGAACGCAACAAAAATATAAAGTTGAAGTCTTGAAGATGTGAAAGCAGTAGAGGTTTGACCCAACAGGACGGCTTATATAGAAGGAGATGGCATGAGGTTGGTGGGCTGTCCGGAAACCGGGGAATTCCAGTCAAAAAGGTTACACAGACCGGATGTGTCCGTACAGTTTTGAGCTTGGGAGTTGGGATATGGAAGGTGACCGGCACGTAGGAAAGTCTCGGAAGATCCGATGATATTTGGGAAAATCTCCGACTGAGCTTATTATTTAATGCGAAAATTGATCGATCAACAAGGATATTGACTTCACTCTGATCAAGGGAAGGAAAGAGATGATGACTCATCCAACGGTCAAGAATAGAAATCCGACAGTTTTCGAGACTTCGGGGGGTACGATGACTACGATCAAGGAGGAAGGAGGATAATGTAAAGGGTGTGTTTCTGACACTGTTTTGAAAATAATCTTTCCAAGATCCTCGTTAACTTGCAAAGATTGCAAATTTAATCCAAGTAAGTTTGTTTATTGGATGATTTTTTCCATTTTCATATGATTTTTTTTATTAGCAAGCAAGGGTAATTTAGATCCACTTCTATTTTATACTCTCATTTTTTTTTTTTTACTTCCTTATATGTGATATGTTTTGATTGCTTAATATAAGAGGTTGATTTTTATCCATTACTTTTTCTTCTCCAATAAAAATTAAACACATAGTGAAAGTACAAAAACTAAGAGTATAATTTTTAATAATTAATTAATATAGAAAAATATTATTTTAAATTTATTTTTTAATAATTTTAAATAAAATAAATTCAAATTAAAAAATCACACATCCTTGTTTTCGTCTCTGGGCAGAGATAAAGAAACGAAGGCGTAGAGTTAAAAAAAAAAAAAAAAAAAATTGATGTGGTAAATACACTGGGATCTACGTGTAGTTTGTAGGCTAGTGAATTTGGGTAACTTATACAGTGAGTCGAATGTTACCCAACTAAGATATACCATTAGTGAGAAAATCCAAAAGTGCCCCCACAGCCATTTAATGCACTATTTATAGGGTTTAAGAGAGAGCACATGCAGGTCGTCCGACATGCTCGCCAAAGTGTTTCACATGCATGGTACGGTTAGCGACACTTCTAATAGGAATATGTGGATGATTGGTTCTAGAGGTATTTGTCCTCTCTTGAGTAGGGGCATTCCTTTAAAGATATTTAGTCAAAGCGCTGAGGTCAGGACCGAGCTCAAGATATGCTACAAAGCAATTAACCACCTTAAAGATGGATGGAATCCGTCCTTGACTCGGGTCAAGTCTGACCCATACGGGGTTGGTCAAGATCAGGATGTGTTCCTCGAGGTATACACAATAAAGACCGAACGGATACATAGTCGTGTACCAGAGTTATTCCCTATCAAAATTATTTTATTTAAAACTATTAAAATAATTTTTTTAAAAAATTATTAAGATAATCACAACATCAATAATGACATGATGAACAAATCAAATTTGAACATTTTCTAATCTAATTACATTTATTTTGAGTTAGATCACATAATTACATTTTTTTTTGTATAGTTTGGTGACTAACTTAAATATTTTTTTCATTATTGAATTAATTGAGTTTCTCTATATATAACCTATTATAGTATTAATTAATAAT